CGCACGTCTTGTAGCAAAAGGCTTTACTCAAAAGGAAGGGACTGACTATAAAGAAACCTTCTCTCCAGTTTCTTCGAAGGATTCTTTTAGGACAATCATGGACTTAGTTGCAAATCTTGATCTTGAGCTTCATCAAATAGATGTTAAGACTACGTTTCTCAATGGCAACATTGATGAAACAATATATATGGTGCAACCAGAAAATTTTGTAATTGGAGATCCAAAACATCTGGTATGCAAATTAAAGAAATCCATTTATGGACTCAAGCGAGCTTCTCGTCAATGGTACTTTAAGTTCAACTAAGTAATTGTCTCGTTTGGCTTTGAGGCAAAAGGCAAATACTGTTGAAATAAATCTGTGTGTACCATAAAGTTCAGTGGGAGTCAGGTTTATCTTTTTGGTTCTTATAATGTGGACTGACATACTTCTTTGGCTACTGAATTGTAAAGTCCTTGCTACATGAAACCCAAAGTGTTTTCTTTTCAAAGGCATTTTGAGATGAAAGAAATTTAAGGTGAAGCTTCTTTTGTTTTTAAGGGATTCAAGATCAGTTCGAGACCGTTCTCGAGGTATTCTTGGATTAATCAACAAAAAGAGCTATATTTGATAAAGTGCTCAAGAGATTTAAGTATGGCAGAAAGACCATTGGATACCCCTATTGCAAAAGGTGATAAATTTAGTAATCAACAATGTCCAAAGAGTGAACTTGAAATTTAGGAAATGCAAAAGGTTCCTTATACGTCAGCTATAGGAAGTCTTATGTATGTTAAAGTTTGTACTCGTCCAGACATTTCTTTTATAGTTGGCATGTTAGGTAGATATCTCAGCAATCTAGGAATGGATCATTGGAAAGCAGCCAAAAGAGCCATGAGATATCTTCAGAGGACTAAGGGACATATGCTCACATATAGGAGATCAGATCAGCTTGAGATCAATATAGGAGATCAGATCAGCTTGAGATCATTGGGTATACTGATTCTGATTTCGTTGGATGCCAAGACAGTAGAAAATCCACATCTGGCTACGTTTTCTATTGGCTGGCGGTGCTATTTCTTGGAAGAGTGTGAAACAAACTCTAGTAGCAACCTCTACCATGGAAGCTGAATTTGTAGCATCTTATAAGGCATCCAATCAAGCTATTTGGCTGAGAAACCTTGTCAATGGGCTGCGTGTAGTAGGTGGAATAGAAAGACCACTGAAGTTGTATTGTGACAGCAGGTCAGCCGTTTTATTCTCCAACAACAACAGGAGCTCTTCTATCAAAACACATTGACATTAAGTACATTGAGATTAAGTTCTTGGCTGTGAAGGAGAGGGTACAGAGTGGACAGATATCCTTAGAGCATATTGGAACAAACTCTATGATTGCGGATCCGCTTGCAAAGGCAGTGATACCGAAAGTTTTCCATGAGCACACCGCTCATATGGGTATCGTTTTGTTTGAGACTGTCTAGTTTTAGTGGGAGTCTGCTCTTTATGTATACATTATGGTTTTGAATGCTCTATTTTGTTTTGGATATGTTTTATCATGAAATTTTGTTGAGTACTCATTTTGGTTGATGGTTACACTCTGTATTATTATTATTGTTCTGTATTATTATTAATTCGTTTTGGCTTGGATCTCCCTTTTGTTGGTGAGCCAGTTGGAAACAGACATGAATGATCAACTTACATGTAGTTTTCATGCTACAGCTCTCATAATGAATTCTGTGTCATCTTAGGGGTAAGTTGGTAATTTGTAGTTGATGATAGAAACTTAAGTCATGGAGATCTATGACGAATGTTTTGCTTCAGCTCTTTATCACATATAACTAATGGACGAGAAAATTGTTTTTGATACCTTGTATGACTGGTTTGTTTGAGCTCATTTTGGTGTATGTATTTTATTTTAAAGCATATGGTTCGCGCAAGTGGGAGATTTTTGTTGAATTTAATTTTTTCTATTTGGGCATTGTGGGCTTAATATGTAAAATTAAATATGTACAACAGTAAAGTCAATTTCAAATGTGGTCTTGATTGTGAATAATTGACTATTGAGGTATCAACTGATTATAAATATTAAGTGTAGAGACCATTATATAATTTTTATTTTGTTAAAGGACCGAAATAGAAATTATACTAACGCTACAGGTATATAAAGGTAGTGGTCCCCAGAGGAGTTGAATACGATTCAATTTTACGTTCCTTTCGTATTGCTTCCGCTAATCGATTCTTCAATTCTCTGGAAGGCTGCAAACCTAATTCTACACATCAAGATCGACCAACAACGATGTCAGGTACGCAACCTTTTCAGGTACGCAACCTTTTCTTATTCCAATCTATTTTGTTGAATCTAGTGGTTATGCAGCGATCTAGGGTTATTATTGAAATTATTTGAGATTAAATTCTTAACACTAACAGTTTAAATGTTTGAATATGGTTATTATTGATATCACTTCAATTTCGTGAAGTTGATATTGTGATTGATATACGATATGCATGAATAATATTGCAAATGTTATTGTTCCCTCTTAAATGAGATTGTTAAGATTTTTCCTCTTTTGTTGATATTCATTATTGAATTATTTGAGATTAATTCTTACACTAACAGTTAAATGTTTGATATGGTTATTACTTGATATCACTTCATTTGTTGAAGTTGATATTGTGATTGATATAGATATGCAATGAATAATATTGCAAATGTTATTGTTCCCTCTTAAATGAGATTGAGATTTTTCCTCTTTTGTTGATATTCATATCACGGATTGCGGTTGAGATAGCTTTGTCTTGATGAACTCATAAGACACTGATGACCCTTCGGATTGAGTCTGCATAAGTTATGGAGACAAAACTACTGATTAATGATTTATTGATATGTTATAATATTTCTATTGAATTGATTATTTTTGGTAAGCAAATGAATGTAATTTAGTTGATATGACTACTTGTTATTTCTATCTAACTCATTTGTTTTCGGTAAGTAATTGATAAGTTTTGATCTTGAAATAGGTAATTGTTGAAATTTGTTTTTCACACTTAAATATTTTAAATATCTAATGGTGAATTATCATTTATATCATGTAATTTATATAGTGCATTATTAAGCCTTATTCTTAGCATAGTTGTTCTCTATACTATCGTAGGAAAAAGGAAAGGAGAAGTAGGAGAGTAAGTCTGAAAGAGTGTTGAGTTCTTTCTACAACTTTCGAAGGGTGAGCTATTGATGTAGCTAATGCCTTATGAATAATTTTATTGGAATTTGTATGATGTATAAAATAGAGACTGGTCACTAATATATATATTGAGCAGACTAATGTAATGAAAGTTATATGAGTTTACAATTAATGATATATGTTATAAAGCACTCAAAAGGTTTAGTTACCTTTAAAGCTAATTTGTTGTCTTAATACGACTCTAAAGGAACAATACGATATGTAATCCTCTTTCTCATAGACTTATGGGTAATGTTTTAACCAATGTATTTGAGTATGAAAATGTATAATTTATAATGAAATTTTAGTTACAACATTTTAAATAGTGGAATGTTATATCTTTTATAAAAATGAAATTTATTGAGTTCGAGATTTTTATAAAAGTGAATCTTATGATATCTAAAATGTTTCGAATAGTATTTGAAATTTTTACCTCACATGCATTTTCAATATGAAAAGTTAAGTCCTTTTGTAATATATTAATTGAGTTCTTATTTAGAAAAAGTGCTTAACAAGCATATTACGGGCAACATGCCACGTCTTATACTGGGATAATGTGTGACACTCTTTCATTGTTTTTGATTTTTCTTTTCAGCAACAATTTATGAATTATTTTTATCTCAATTCCCTTTTCATTTATTTATTTGTACTACTGGTTGTTCTTTGGACCTATTTTCATTTTTAAACCATTGGGTTTGAGTATATGGTGTCGAAGATGAGATGTTTATTTTAACTAAAGAGAGAAGGAACGAAGAAGGGATGAATTGTTCAATCCCTAAATGGTGTGCATTACTTAGCTAACCTGAGTTGGGTTAGTTCATTACAGTGGCGTCGTGTTTATTATATTTTAATGCCAATTTTGACTGAATGTGTAATTAGAGTGCAAATTTTACATAAATTTGAAATTGGGGTATCTGAGGTGTTTAATTTCAATTTAAGATGCAATTGTTACAAGTAGCAAATTTTGAGATATGTATGATTTAGCCGCTGACATGAATACAAAAGAGATTCAGATTTGTTAAATAAACCAAATTTGAGCTCAACTTTGTTGGAATTGACCTTTTAACCTCCATTTATTTTTGCTTAATAACCAACTGTCCTCTATCTCCTTGTCAACCAATTACCTCCATTTAAATGTTGATAATGAAGTTTAGCATTTTTAATATAATTGATATTATTAGTTTTATTAATTATTAAAAACTATAAAATATTATTAAGATTATTAATGATATTAATTTCACGTTATCAATATGTATCTATATATATGATATTAAAAAATAATTTTCTTTAAATGTAAAATATCAACAACTAGGTAAATTAAGATTTTAGAATTATGTCATGTGAATCGAATATGTTATAAGTTTTATATATTTAAATTAATGTAGATAGATAGATTGATGGTTTAGAATGAAGTCCATCTAAGTGGGCCTAAAACTAAGCCCATGATAATAATTCATAAAAACTAATGGAGTGGAGGTCGGCCCAACATGATGGACTTGCGAACTTAACACCGCATGTAGATTTTTATATATTTTTTTTCAAATAATTTCAATATTATTGTCAAATAATAAAAAATGAGTTACTTAAAATTTATCTTATTTTTCAGAAATAAATTATTTTATAATTCTATAAAAAAGTAATTTTCCTTCCTAATAAGCGGAGCCTAACAAATTACTTTTTAGAATGGTAGTAACAAAAAGTTAAGTAATCTTTAATTAAAAAAAAAAAAAGAAATTAAAAATTGCAGAGAACTATGAACCCTATTTTCCTTATTTTTCAGCTATAAAAATTTACTTTTAAACAGCTTTTTCTGTTTTATTAGAGGAAACGAGGGAGATGTGTCCCAGGCTTTAATTTTCTGTCTTCTCTTGCCCAGCAAAGTAACGGACGTTTGCTTCCTCAATAGGCTCGAATCCAAACAAAATCCAATCCATCTTTAGCTTTAAATTTGATTCTTTAATCACTGTTATTGTGAGTTCAGATTCTCTACCTTCTCTCTCAATTTTACTTGAGCATTTCACAAGATTCTTATGTATTTCTAGGCATTTCTGCCATTTTTTGTTCGCTTCAAGTGAAGATGGAGAAGCCAATTTCCAGACATTTCTGCAACTATCAACTCTGGTTGGTGATTCTTGTTTTATTTGTTTCATGTTTTATATTACTTTGTTTTGATTATTCAGCTTTGACTGGACCCCAAGATAATTTGTCTATTTTGGTGGAAAACTATAAGAATTCAGTCTCTACCCTTGAATCCAAAACCCTGAATCAAACCTCAATTAGACCTAACGAAACCCGTTATGTTAAAGATTCTTGTTTGGGTCAATTTATTTATATTCATGAGCTTCCTAGTCAATTCAACCAAGAATTTCTTGACCATTGTGAATCAATTACACCAGGGACTGAGCATAATATGTGTCCTTATTTGGTTAATTATGGTTTGGGTGCTGAAGTTGAAAATGCTCAAGGAGTTTTGTTAAATAAGAGTTGGTATTCTACTAATCAATTCTTGTTGGAAGTAATTTTCCATAATAGAATGAAAAAGTATAAGTGTTTAACTAATGATTCTTCTATTGCCTCTGCTATTTACGTGCCTTTTTATGCTGGTCTTGATGTCAGTAGATATCTTTGGGGTGTTAAAGCCTCAATAAGAGATAAATCTGGTTTTGATCTTTTCAATTGGCTAGTTCAAAAACCTGAATGGAAAAAATTGTGGGGTAGAGATCATTTTTTTGTTGCAGGAAGGATTTCTTGGGATTTTAGAAGACGAACTGATAATGAAACTGATTGGGGTAGTAAGCTTAGAACCATGCCAGAATCTAATAACTTGTCAATGTTGTCCATTGAGTGTAGTTCTTGGAAAAATGATTATGCTATACCATATCCAACATGTTTTCATCCCTCAAAAGATAGTGAGGTGTTTGAATGGCAAGAAAAGATGAGAAAACAAAAAAGGCCGTACTTGTTTTCTTTTGCTGGTGCTCCACGGCCGGATCTTAAAGACTCGGTCCGAGGCAAGATTATTGAGGAATGTCAAGCTTCTAAGAATATATGCAAGTTGTTAGAGTGTGAATATGGTGTTAATGGTGTAATTACCTGCGATAATCCGGCAAATGTGATGAAATTGTTTCAAAATTCAGTTTTCTGCTTGCAGCCAGCAGGGGATTCATATACCAGGCGATCTATATTTGACTCTATCTTGGCAGGGTGTATCCCAGTTTTCTTTCATCCCGGCACCGCCTATGCTCAATATAAGTGGCATTTGCCAAAGAATTACAGTAAATATTCTGTATTTATACCTGTTAGAGATATTAAAGATTGGAAAGCTGGCATAAACAAGACGTTACTTCGCATACCAGAAGATAGAGTATTGTATATGAGAGAAGAGGTCATAAGGCTTATTCCAAGGATAATTTATGCAGACCCCAGGTCTAAATTGGAGACAATTGAAGATGCATTTGATTTAGCAGTAAAGGGAATTCTTGAGAGAATAGAGAGTGTTAGGAGGGTAATTAAGGAAGGAAAGGATCCTAGTATTGGTTTTGCAGATGAAGATAATTACAGGTTTACATATTCTGGGTATGTAGGAGAAACTTGAACAGAAATTTTGAATTGCATAGGATTTTATTAGTGAAATGTTCTTTCTTCCAGCACTGGTGGGCAAGCAAATTATATAATCATAAAATATATAATATATTAAATAATATAATTAAATATAAAACACAAGACTCATGTCCTATATAAGTTCATTCATTATATATATATATATATATATACACACACAAGACTCAATGTCCTCTTAAGTTCAATTCATTTGTTCTTGTTGATCTTGCTGATGGAATGATATGAACTAATTTTCTCCATGGAAATTTTTGAAGGCCACGGTGTTTTTTTATTCTATTTAATTTTAAAGTGACATTTTGTAATTATTAAGTGATCTTCGAATAAATAAAAATAATATATTGTTACCTTTTAAATGCATACTTATAATAATAATAATAATAATATATACTTTACTGTCCTTTATTTTTAACATTGGAAGGCTACGTATGAAGTCTTTGCCGACACACGGTGAGGGACCCATCCGATACGAATCAGTTACCACGTGATGCCCTTAACAGTGAGGGAGGCAGTTAGGTACTGGGAACCGAAAATGAAATAAATGACCGTAGATAGCTCCAACACGATCGCCTATAATTGAGGTGTTTGTTGCCTGCACCACCATTGATTCGGTTTGAATTAGAATCAAACCGCAATGAGTTGTTTGAAAAGTTCAGATTTCAAGTTGGACTGAGGCTGAAAAGCCATAGATCAGTCTGGTCCCAGTTCCTGCTTCTAGAATCGGTAAAGATTTTTGGCAAAGCACGTGTGAGACTCAACTGGAATTTTTGTGAAGAAAATGGTTGTAATGCCCTTACCTTTTTAGTTTGATATGTGAGCGCACTGTCCAACAGTGACACGAGTTTGAAGCCTTTTCATGTCATCTTTTCCTGATTTCATACTAGGTCTCTATTCCATCCTTATGAACTGTTTTTTTTATATTTCTCATATTTTTTGTATTTTATTTTTCATTCAGTGATTGTCTTGTGCAATCTTGATGCGTATTGTTGAATGGAACGCGATTTAGAACATCGTGCATATGCATGTGTCCTCAATTCTTTTACCTCCTGCTATGTGAATTAGTAACTTATCATGATAGGCAAGAGCAAGTGTAAAAAAATGTCACAGTATGTTGTTCAAATGTTAGTAATTTTTCATCTAATGTGCAATGCACTCCGATTGAATAATTCTTCTATTGGAAACACGTAAAATTGTATCGATTTGGAGTGAACTGGTTCCATCAATCGATCACTTACAATTGAATCTATTTGTCACCCGATTTATTGAATTTTTTTTTCCGACTCCATCTATTAAATTATGTGTACATGATTATGGTTAGGAGTTAGCCAATTTAAATAGCCTGCATCCCTACTCATTTTTAGTGTTTTGAAAATGTTACTGAATGATATAATTTCTCAATATAGTGCATTTTTTCCCGTAATCAATGCCAATAACACTTAATTAAAATGTCATCACATAATAATTAACTGAAGATTTGATAAGGTTGTCATTGTTTATTTGATGTACATATTTGTTTAATAAATATGCTACGTATACACATGGCAATGAAGCAGGTCAGCAAGTCCAAGGTATCTAAAGGATGGAATATTATTTTCCCTCTTCATCTTGAGCAAATTGGGCTTCTCATCAGCACTAACTGCCTACCATGCATTCAAGTCCAAGATATTCTGTTTTCTTAGCCCAATAATATATCTACGTATGCATGCAAATCCCGATGTCGTTTTGGAAGTGCATACCCACTTCACTATTTCAGAGCCCTCCATCTCTATTCATCCCTTTCTTTGCATTCTATACTTGCCAACAATTCAATCACTGTACTTAGGAAGAGAATCATTTTTTCCAATGAAAGAAAAAAGAACTGATAGCTAATACAACTATATTCATTCACCTTTCTCACGTCACATACCGGCTAACTTTCATTTTTTCTAATGAAAAAAAATAAATGATCGCTAATACAACTATATTCATTCACCCTTCTCATATCACGTACCGCAAATTTTAATGTGAGGCGATTAGGTAAATGCACAATTAAAAATTTTATTGAGTCTAACACATATTGTGTCATTTAGCACTGCTCTTTTAGAATCGAAATCAGTCAATTACAATGAAAATTGAAAACTTTAATCGTTGACACCTAAATTCATGACATTGAACATGGGAGAATTGTCCTTTTAAAACCTGATGCGACAATTACTATGTTAGTCTGAGAAGTGAGAACTGAGAATCGCAACATTATATTGCATATCCTTTGGCTGGAATAGACTGAACCCGCAATCGAAAACAAAAAATTAAGTGAACATTATATTGATTATCCAAACTGCTTTTTCCATATTTGATTGTATATAATTAATTAAAATTAATTCTCCATATTTGATTAAGAATTCAAAAATGAATAATTAATTGTAATTGACTTTTCGTATGTCATTTATTCAATTCAAATTGAATTATTTTTCTAAATTTAATTAAGAATTGAAAATTGAATAATTAATCAAAACTGTCTTCTAATTTGCAAATGGAACAATTATTAAATTAACTTTTCATATTTAATTACAAATTAAAAATTCAGTTAATTAATTTTTAAAAATTTTATATACATCAATTGAAGTCAAACTAAACTGTTGATTTGAACTACTGGTCATAAATCAGTTCGAATGCATTCTTCTCTTCCTTTTGAACTTGAATCGATCTATAAACTACCATTCTAATTTAATTTTTGAAACGGACTGTTCCGGTTAGTTTTAGTTCATAAAAAAATATAAACAAATTCTAGTTCAAACCTAACAGATGGGTACACTTGGAAATTACTTTTTAGTTTAAATAGAAAAAGAATTCTTTTGTTGTGGACTACTTGCTGTTTGGGTAGACCCATTCTGGTTAGTAATTTTTTTTTAGATTAACACTCTACTTACTATTTTGAACTACAAATTGATGTTCATTTTTTTCAATATGTCCACTTGTCTTAGTGATAAATTTAAAATCAAGAATTTAATTTTTTGCGAAAATTTAATTTAATTTAAAATCTAAATCGTAAAGTTTGGTGCCACAGGGTTTTCTACCAAATGTATAAAAGTGAATTTATGTATCGCTTAATTTTTCGACATTACCTAATTTTGGATTAATTCGGTTGTTTTGATTAGATTTTTCACTTCAATTTTTCATTCTAGTTTGGTTAGGTTTGAGAAATTGCCCTAAAGGAGAATCGATTAAGATCTTTAGTTGAATAATTAAGCATAGTATTACGTCCATATATTTATCAAAATACAACTAGTCAATCCATGCATTTTTAGAAATGTTTTTTGAAGTCCATATGTTTTAATTTCGTCATAACATTCTGTGCTTTCGTCTAATTTCTCTAATTAGTTTGTTAAGTAGATGAAAAATGATATAAATAACCTTCCAAACGTAAGACAAAAATGAACAAAATGTATTTGGATGTCAATAACATGCGTCTCCTTCTTATTCTTTCATTGCTAGAAAGACATTAAAGAGAGCTTTGTGACTATGGAAAAAAGAAATTTTGACCACAAGATTTGTCCAGCAATTTATAGTCAATTATTAATAAATATTTTTTTCTTAAACAAAATACTATATTCTAATTATTTATCTGAAGGATATGCTGATTACACAAGATGAAATTTTAAACACCTTACTTTACTTTATTTTTGTTATGTCAAGATTAACACGTATCGGGATTATTTGAATCAATATTGTTACTTTAGTATGTCTACGTCCAATTTGAATTTATATTCTAAGAACTTTGTATGATTAGACATTTGAAAAGTAAGAAGCTAACAATTAATTAAATCCATGATGGTCAAAATCTGAGATTAACTCATAAAAAATTCTTCAAATTAATAAACTGAAAATTTCCTTAGTCAAGTAGTATTGGACTTTAGTTTTTTTCTTTTTATTTCAATATATCATTGTGGTTTCAAATAATCAGTAATATATATATATATATTAACGATGTCAAAAGATTTATTTACAAGTATAAAGTTGAACTATATCCCGCAAATTAATGATATTAACGATGTCAAAAGATCTTACTTATGATTAAAATTCTCCCCAACACAAGTCCAATTAATGGTTTGGGGAAAATAACGTAAAAACAGAAACTATCACACTCATACATAGAGATTCTTGATTCTCAAATATGAAAAGTCACCGAGTAAACTAATCTAATACTCCAACTCCCACAACCTATCGCAATTTCTCTGACGGTGGTGATAAAGAAACCAGTCAAGAACATGGCAAAGAAACAGAGTATCACTGCTGGCCTTACTTTAGAAATAGAGTTTGGTTCAGTTTTCTACGCGGAAAGAAAAAATCCCTTCAACTAAGATTATTTTCGCATGTTTCTCACTTAGAATTATACACCTTGAAAAGTAAGTTTCTATTCCATTATAAATACCACTCTCACATTAAATTCTCTTCAAATATCAATATCAATTCAGTTTTCTCTTATGGCAATCACGATGGAAAGGCGAGATGCCTTCAAGAAGATGGGCATAGAGAAGAAACGGACCATGATTGGTTTTAGTCTAGAAACCTCACATGAAGTTTCTTGGGCGAGAGTCTACTTGCTTGGAAAAGGGGGTTTTGGTTCTGTTTTTTACGCGCTAAGAAAAACCTGAGAATCTCATCTTCCCTTTCACATGGCGGTAAAATCAGCGACGATGGAGCACTCTTCTTCACTTCAGTATGAGAAACAGGTTCTTTCTAGTCTTGGTACAAGCCCTGTGGTGTCAGGCAAGAGCGGTATCTTGATATGGTCAAATAACCGTTTATAGATTGACCATGTATAGACCAAATTTCTAGGCGTGATGGAGCTAGTTATTCAATTAAAATTAATATTTAATTTAATTATTAAAATATAAAAAGATTGGACAAAAATATAATTAAATCCTGAACCATAATTTTTGTCCCAAATTGTAAGGAAAACTTTTCTGCTTTAATAATTTTTTTAATAGCATTTTATGCAATATCATTAAATGCTGATAATATTAAATCATTTTACAATTTAGTATTTATTATTTAACAAAACAAACCATCGAAATTTAAATGTATTTATTAATAAAATATTAGGTTCTTCTCATATTTAATTATAGTAATATATAATGTTAGAATAAGATTATATTTTGATTCAATTAATGAGTTGATTCTCAAGTGTAAAAATAATTACATCTATATGTCACTCACACTTGACTCTCAACTATCCCAACAATAAATTAAACTAACTTATATGTATCTAACTAACAATATTCATCCCCATCTTTATATATCACTCCTCATTAAATTTATCCAACTATATCAACCCATGAAGCTACCCTAATTGAAGAGGAACTGAAGCAACAACATATCACTCTCCATTCAATTTCCACAAATATCTCAATGAATAGAGCTAATCTAACCTGAGGAATTCAAGCAACAACAGAAAAAATTCAAAAGGTAGCATAACCCAATTATTACTCTGAAGAGTATTTCAAGTTATAGTACGAGTTGAAAACTTAATACAAAAGAAGTTAGCCTCTAAATGAACATCTTACCTTGAAAATTCATTCATTTCTCATTTCCAAAACCACCAAAAAGTGATGCTAACCACTTGAACTAATAAAGCATGCAATTCATGTTAGATTTTTCATTAGTCAAATTTAAAAAAAAAAAAAAAAGATATATATTCATTTTAATTGTTAAAAGGCTTTTACTACGATAAAGAATAAAGAAATTTTGTATTAGTAGAGAACTACGATATCATGACATTTGTACATATATACCTCCTATAGTTAGCTATGATTATTGATTTCTTATTCGTCTTTTTTTAATCATATATATCATATTATGGTAAGAGATTAAATTGCACATAGATGGAAAATTTATGGAATAAAAAATTTTACTTTTAACTTTAAGTATAAACAACTCATAATTTTAAAATTTATAAATTAAATACTAAAGGTAACTATTATAATGATCAAACATTTGTACATATATATCCTCCATAGTAGTCTATGATTTATTGATTTCTTTATATTCGTCTTTTTTAATTCAATAATATATCATATATGGTTAAGGTTAAGATTAAATGCACATTAGATGGAATATTTTAATTGGAATAATAAAATTTTACTTTTATACTTTAAGTATATATCATACTTCATAATTTTAAATTGTATTAAATTATTATACTATAAGGTTATACTAATTAATAACTATATATTATATAATTTATATTTTATATTTTGTTTAAGATCATATTTTCATTTTAGAAATTTGTGAAAATATTATTGAAATAAGCAGGGATAAAATTCCAATGTATAATCCTATTATTTGTAATTTTTATACATATTTCATTTAGAAAATTTGTGAAAATATATTGAAAAGCAGGGATAAATTCCAATGTATAAATCCTATATTTTGAAATTTATAATATACACATAATATAATATAATATCTAAATTAAGTTCAGAAAATTTAAAATTAAATAAATTTTTTTAAAATTTTCTATAAGTAAATAATATAAAAATTATCTTTATAAAAATTATTGAAAAGAAACTAGAACAGAGAGGATTAGTTCCAGTTAACATTAAAATTTAATTAATTCAAAGATTATTACTCATATATAATTGAATAAAAAAAATCAAATGAATAATTTTATCTAAATATATAATATGGCTTATTTTAAAAAAAAATATATACATGAATTTAGGATAAGTTTAATTAAACTACAAATTAGATGTACAAAATATTAATACGTCTTGATTTACATAATTAGACATTATATAATAAATAAAGATTAAGTAAACTACATATAAGATCAAACTTCTTGTTAAATAACTACAAATAAAAAATTAAGCACAAAAATTAGATTAATGCAAATTGCACATAAAAAGCTATATTTTTCATCATTCCATAACTAATTTGAGATTTTTTTTATCTTTTTCTGCTTTTATTTTTTATAATTGTGTTGGGAAGAGTGCTTTTAAATTTACCCAATAAATACAATTAATTATATAACAAATAAAAGCAAAGAAGTTTATCTTATACGACAATCAAGTGTAAATCTCTCAAATTGCGAAGTGTAAAAAGAGCAGTTATTTAGTATAATTGTAATGACATCAGTTATTTTATATTTTCAGATAATGCCTTATCAAGATAATATCTAGTAGTTACATCTCCATCAAGATAATGCTATTAAATTAAATTGAAATTATAATTATACTAAAATATAAATAATCCAAGCCGTGCAAATTGAATAAATTGTTATTCAAACTTTGGTCAACTTGAGTTGATTATATGTCTTGCATTATGTATTTAATCTTAACACAATTATATGTCGCATTTTTCACAAATTTTATGTACAGAAGCTCTTATTTTCATATTTTCTGATTTGTAATGTAATATGGAAAGATATTAATCAAAGATAAATTTTGTTAAGGCAAAAATTCATTAGGTATTATGGAGCTAATTATTCAATTAAAATTAATATTTGATTGAGTTATTAAAAAATAAAATAAAAAAGAAATCTAATTCATGAAAAATGAATTTTATCCCAAACTTTAAGGAAAAGTTTTTCTACATAAGTAAAGAAAATATCAAGCTCTTGTCTCTCAGAGTTGGGAAGTTCGGATTCAACATTGTTACAGAGAAGTGAATAAAGTTGCTGATAGGTTAGCTAATTTGGCTGTGAATGGAGCGATTGGTCACTATATTCTTGATAGTCATACTATTGAAGTGACAATGTTCGTGCATTGGAAAATTAAATGTATGGTATAGTCACGTGTTAGGCGTTTTATGTCTTAGTTTTTTTTTCTAGGGTTTTTCCCTCCAATGTTTCTAAAAGAAGAAGATATATATATTTTTTAAAAATAAAATTTTTATGCAATATCATTAAATGCTGACAGTGTTAAATCATTATATGGTTAAGTATATTTATTATTTAAAACAAAATAATAGAATATATTTTATCTTCTTTTTTTGACATAACAAACTATAGAAACTTAAATGTATTTATTACGAATAATGTTAATATTCTCTCGTATTAATGATAAGATTAAAAAATAAAATTCAATTTGCCCCTGAACTTGGAAGTAATATTCAATTTGTCCAAACATCAACTTTTTGTATAATTTATTTCCTAAACTTACACCAAAAGAATAAAAAGCCAGTTTTTGTCGATGAGCACATTAAGGTTAAAAGTTTGTAAGATGAGGTTGTGTTTTCTGCTTGAGATATTCATAACCCAGACTTTGCTAAATTGAATTTGGTTGAGGTTCTGAGTAACAAGGTGCATATGGTCATGGGTTTATTGGGTTCCTCCCTCTCATCCCGTTCTTGAAGTTGAATACAAACGCCTCAGTTGTTGCTCATAGGGCAAGTGGAGGGGGCTGTTTAGAGATCATGCTGGTAAATGTGTTGTTGGTTTTTTTTTTCTAACCTGAGGAGCTGTTCGATCCCGAGTGTAGAGTTATTGGCCATTTTAGAAGGTCTGAAGATTGCTAAGCAAAGAAATTTTAGACCTCTTATGGTAGAAAGTGATAATTCTCTTGTGGTCCAGCTCATTCAAGGGAAGGCTCACCCTTCCTGGGTTGGATGACTGGCTGTTGCATGATTCTAGAGGTGTAACATACTCTAGATTGTGTCTGTCTTCTTAGAGCTATACTCTCTTATTTTATGAAAAAAGAAAATTTGACCACAAGATTTGTACAGCAATTTATAGTCAATTATTAATACATATTTTTTTTCTTAAACAAAACGATATATTCTAATTATTTATCTCAAGTATATGCTGATTACATGAGATGAAATTTTAAACACCTTACGTTATTTTATTTTAATTTATTTTTGTTATGTCAACGTTGACACGCGTGGGTATTATTTAAATCGATATTGTTACTTTGGTATGTGTAAGTCCAATTTGAGTTTATATTCCAAGAACTTTGTATGATTAGACATTTGAAAAGCAAGAAGCTAACAATTAATTAAATCCATGATGGTCAAAATCTGAGATTAACTCATAAATAATTCTTCAAATTAATAAACTGAAAATTTCCTTAGTCAAGTAGTATTGGACTTTTGTTTTTTCTTTTTATTTCAATATGTCATTGTGGTTTCAAATAATCAGTAATATATATATTTATAAAAGATTTATTTACAAAGTATAATGTTATTAACGATGTCAAAAGATCTTAATGATGATTTAGATTCTCTCCCAACACATGTCCAACTAATGGGTTGGGGAAAATAACGGTGAAAACAGAAACTATCACACTCGTACTTAGAGATTCTTGATTCTCAAGTATGAAAAGTCTCCGAGTAAACTAATCTAATACTCCAAATCCCACAAACTACCGCAATTTCTCTGACGGCGGTGATGAAGAAACCAGTCAAGAACATGGCAAAGAAACAGAGCATCACTACTGGCCTTACTTTAGACACAGAGTTTGGTTCAATTTTGTACGCGGAAAGAAAAAATCCCTTCAACCAAGATTATTTCCGCATGTTTCTCGCTTAGAATTAACATCTTGCAAAGTGAGTTTCTATTCCATTATAAATACCACTCTCACATTAAATTCTCTTCAAATATGAATATAAATTCAGTTTTCTCTTATGGCAATCGGATGGAAAGGCGAGATGCCTTCAAGAAGATGGGCATGGAGAAGAAACGGACCATGCCTGGTTTTAGTCTAGAAACTTCACATGGAGTTTCTTGGGCGAGAGTCTACTTGCTTGGAAAAGGGGGTTTTGGTTCTGTTTTTTACGCGCTAAGAAAAAACCGAGAATCTCATCTTCCCTTTCATATGGGCTGTAAAATCAGCGACGATGGAGCTCGCTTCTGCACTTCAGTACGAGAAACAGGTTCTTTCTAATCTTGGTACAAGCCCTTACGTTGTTCGTTGCTATGGGGATGAAATAACAGAGTTGAGGAACGGTGAGAAAATATACAACTTGCTTTTGGAGTTCTGTTCTCGTCTTAGTTTAGGTGATCATATTAGCTTATCTGGCGGTGGGTTGCCTGAGATCGTCGTTCAGAATTACACGCGGGATATTCTTCGTGGTTTGAAATACATTCATAGTCATGGTTATGTTCATTGTGATATCAAGCCAGGTAATATCTTACTTGTGCCTGGTACTGGCTTAAGGGTTGGAAACTATATGGCGAAAATTGCTGATTTCGGGTTAGCAAAGGCGATGCATGGAGAGGAAGAAGAGTGCACCGGTTTGAGAGGAACACACATGTATATGTCGCCGGAAATGGTGAAGCATAAAAAACTGGGGTATTCTGCAGATATATGGGCACTTGGTTGTGTTGTGTTGGAGATGCTAACAGGAAAACCAGTCTGGGAGTTTCGTTATAGTCGTGATATCATCCTAGTGATTGGTTATACTAATCGAGTGCCTGCGGTTCCTAAGCATTTATCGGTGAAGGCAAAGAATTTCTTGGGTTGGTGTTTGGATAGAAGAGCTGATCAGAGATTGTCTGCTGATATGTTACTGGAACATCCCTTTGTTTCTATGGATGAAGAAAGAAACTATACTAAGCACTGGTTTTTGTAGGAAAGATTTTTTGTTTCTGATTTGACATTGGCAGATTTATGGTTTATAATTTGCTTCTCTTTGTAAAGCTATACTAAACACTATAATGAAAGCTTGCAGTTTTGTTTCTTTTTAATGATTTGTTTTGTTTGATGCAAAAAATCAGTTTATACTTCAGTTTTATTGGATCATTTTGATGTTGTTTTTTCTCCACAAGTAGTATATATGTATATATATATGCTTTTGTATGTGCATTGAATATCTCCTCTCTGCACTTCAAACACCAACAACTACATTCTGCTTAAAGCCAGTTAGCTCAGAGAAGAGCCTCTGAAGTAATTCTTTTATTATCACTTGGAAGCCTAGTTAGAAAGAAAATGCACTTCATATTCTTAAAGTGGAACACATAAAAAGGCAATTTGGGTTAAGAAATGAAGAAGATTTAATTTGTTGATAGCATCAGTTTTATGCAGCATCATGCTGCAAAATAGTAAAAAAGAAACATTACAACTTATTCATTCAAATCTAATCATTCATTTTGGATTTGCTCGTGGCATTTGATTCCATATTCTGTAAGAGACATTTCTCTTAATTGTTGCAACCACATCAATGACAATATTATTCTTTCTTTCTTTGGAATACAGTCAAGGTGTTACCATGTCTGTCAAGAGCAAGTGTTCATAAGAAGAGCTTCTGCACTCCTTCACACTCCGCTCTTCCAACAGAATGCTAATAATAAGATTTTGAGTGGAAAACCAAATAAACCTTTGGTTGTTTAAAAGTCTTTTAACTTTTAAACTTGGCCATCTGTGCACAATCGAGTATGATTTTTCTATATCTATCTTATTAGTGAATTGAGGATTTCAAGTTATTTTGTAATTTTGTTGAGTTGGCCAATTCTGACGTTGTACCTGGTGGTAATATATGTGCCTTAATGGCCATGTCAGTTGAATTCCAACATAATCATAAGAAAATTACAATCAAATATAAATAGAAGGTACCGATTAACAAAATTAAAATAATTAGTCAATTGTCAAAATTATTATTGTTATTTTTTTACCTTTCCCTTTCTTTCTATAATAATAAATTGTAGAAATCTTTAATTTTAAAATTAATCAAAAAAAAATTTCTCCGCGAAATTAAAAAATAAAATAAAATAAAGGTCTCATACATAAATTTATATTTTATATAAAAAATATTGTGAAACACCATACCATGATCATACATATGTATTTATGAACATGACACATATAACATTAATATAAAAAACACCATACCATGATCATACATATATTTATGACATGACAATATAACATTAATAATATATATAATATATATAATATATATATATAATAAATATATATATAATATACATGCATTTGCCTAAACATTGATATGCCTAAACATGACCATGCACATAAGCATCAAATAAGAATCTGAATATGCAAATGCATGAATCTGAATAAACTCTGAACTCGAAAAGCCTGGCACTCCGCCTTAGACATATCGAGTGCGTATATGTTCTTTAAAGCCTTTTAGTACATCTATAAATGGTGTTTATAAATGAATTGTCAAATGAGAATAATGATACTATTATGGAAAATTATGTTTATTTTGGTGATTTGATTGATTTAGACTGCTTTAATATGTTAGTAAGAGATTGTTAATCACAAAATCATAAGTTAATTAAAGTGGAAAATGATTATGGAGAATAATTAAAAGAAAGTTAAATGTGCTCAAATTACAGCGAAGAGAAGATAGCACGTGAAGAACCTAAATTAGTATTTTGATTAAGTATTTAATGATTTTATGTTAAATCATCTAAGATATTTAGTTAAGGCCTAAATGAGATCAATTAAGTGTTAATAGAGGATTATATATTTGATTAACATAAAAGAAAAGTTATAATTATAAATGTGGGTAAAAATAAGAATACATGAGAATTTGAGGAGTTAAATGAGAATTTGAGGAGTTAAAGGAAGATTAAGAGGCCATGTGACTTCCAAATGACTTGTTAGTTTATAAAAGGCTAAGTAATAGCAAAAATCAAAGAACAAAAAGGAAATAGAAAAGAGAGAAGGAGAGGTCGACACATAAGGAGAGAAGCAGGAGAAGAAGAAAAAGAAAGCCTAACGTGCTAAGGATTCAACTTGATTTTCAAAGGGTTTTTGTTGAAAATCACCTAAGGCAACTAATTTCTACCTAATTTGTGCTATTCATTTGATATGGAGAAGTTTGAGTTAGGATTTCAAAGTAGAGATTTTGAAGGGAATTAGGATTTCAAAGTAGAGATTTTGAAGGGAAGATTGATTTTGACGCTAATAAGTGAAATGAACATGATGTAAAGTGTTAATTAGTTAGTATTGGTTATAAAAACCATGATTTAAGCTTTAATTTGATTGAATTGCGAAAATCTTACCTAAGGCTAAAGATGGAGATTCTGCCCACTCGAAATGATCATTGGAATGATCATTTTGTTTTGAATTGATGAGTTTAATTAGTTGATTAAGCATTCTAACGATGATATCAAGTGTTAGTTTGAAAAGAATGGTGTTTAAATTGAAATTACCATATTTATATGGTTATGGAAGTTTAAAGAGCTTAAGCAATATTCATTAAATGGTGATAACATAAATAATCTGATAATCATTTGCATCATACTTCTGAAGTATATCTCTGTAGCATCATATCTGTGATGCTTCAAATAACTATGATATAAATTTCTATCAACAGGAATGATGTGATATCTGTACATTATTATTGTGAATGATTTAATAAATGACTATTATTATATGATAATTGTTGATGTCGAGCTTTTGGTGGCCCAAAGAGTTAAAGATGTTTGAATTATTAGAAGCGCATTATGTGCTTTATTTGAGATATTCATGATATGCTATGTTATTTCAAATAATCATTTATAATGGTTTTTACTCACTGAGTGACATCTCATATAAAATGCTAATATTTTTTTAGATTTGGGCTTTAGGAGGCATTAGCAGTCAGATTTCCATCTGTTCAGATTGGCAGAAATGGAACTAAGGTCGGGACTTATTGTGTCTGTATATGTCACCTTCTTAGTTTGTAAATTTGTTTTATAAGGGGTCTAAACTCTTTAACGTCCACCATGTATTAAATAACTTTTAAATTATGTTTGGTCATGTATATATTTATATATGACTGTTTGTCAAAAGTAAGAAATTTTCTAATATAGGTTTTTCCTGTTTAACACATGGTGCGACTTATATTTCAGTTAATAGATATGTATGATATATTATATAGCATCACAACACTATTTATCCTTGTATACATGGTGTTAGAGTGTTACATCCCAATTTTTAGAGGGAACTTATTATGCCTCTAAAATTATGAACTTAAATAAAATTACATACCTCTCCACATTAGAAATAATAATTTTTTGGTGTTTTTTATTTTCATATGCAAATTTGTTTTTTTTTTTTTTTTTTTTTTTTTTTTTTTTTTTTGTAGAAAAAGGAAACTAAAACTACTGCTCCTTTAGATTTTTTTTTTTTTTTTTTTTGTAGAAAAAGAAACTAACTACTGCTCCTTTTAGAGTGAGGTACACCAGTAATATCATAAACTAACCATTGATGAAGACCATGAGGAGAAGCTTCCAAAATATGCATTTCAAAAGCAAAACAAGAAGCAAGATTAGTCAACCAATTAGCACAGAAATTAATTTTCCTAAATATATAAGAGACAGAGATAGTCCATCAAGCCGCAAATAATTATAAATTGAGAGAACTAGAGAACAAACTGAAAGAAGAATCACTATAGAATCATTAATAAGCTGAACTGCAAGAGATTGTCACTTTCAACATGAACACGTGAAAACATCTGGTATAAACAAGTTTAATTCCTTCCAATAAATCCCATAATTTAGCCCTTAGAACTAAAGAATTGCCAATAATAATTTTACATGTAAAATATTGATTTGATGTGTAGTTATTATAACTTTTAGAATAATAATTTTCGGCTCAATAAATAAATTCACTTTTAAACTTTTCATAAAAAATTTTATGTTACTTTTAACTTTTATTTTGACGCATTAAATATTTCAATTTATAAAATTATATTTATTGAGTATTTTAACTTAATCGGTTCAACATAATTTGTAAAATTAGATCACTTGAAAACACTTATTAAATAATTAAAATGTAAGAATTATTAATTCTTATGCAGAAGCTGTTGGTATGCAGGAGGTTCTTCCTAGTTGAAGGAATGTCAGTTTGGTCCTGTTATTCTTGAGTCTGACTCTCTTCATGGTCAGCCTGACTTAACTGAATTTGGGTGTGTCATACCAGATTACAGGTCTCTTATCAGCAAGATGGAAAGTATCTCCTTGACTTGTTTGTAGGCAAGCGAATAAGTCGGTTCACTCGCTAGCCCGAGCTGCTTGTTAATTTTCTTCTAGCCTTCATTATTGAAATAGCATTACCCGTTGTATTGCAGTTGATATTTTGCTTGATCTATCAGTTAATCAATAAAGCTTGTCTTCTTTATTCTAAAACAAATGTAATAATTGTTACTTTAAATATTATACTAATCACATATTAAATTAATATTTAAAAAGTAAAAGACCTTTAAAATTACTGTTGTTGTTAATTGTAGCAATGCGTGAAATTGTTATAAAAAAATAAAATTCAAGATGTTACTAATGATTTTAATGTGTAGCGTCAATGTGTCGCAAAGGCTATTTTTTTTTTATTTAAGTTCAATAAGTTATATTATATATTTAGCAAATATTTAATTAATTTAATTTTAGAAATTGAAAATTTTAACAAAAGGTTTTACACGTTAAAATATTAGATGGATGCAATTTGATAAGTTTAAAGTATTACCAAATTAAAAGTTAGAGGCTGCGTCATAGTTTTTAGTGGGATGATTTTATGCATTTGGCCAAAAGAAAAAAGAAAAAAAAAAAGTACAGTAAAACAACCTCCATTACTTCATACTCGGTGACAGAGTGCACAAGTTCGAAAAGAAATTCAGTAGAGGTTATGGCCGCAAACTCAACTTTTAAATTATTTTCTACTTCGGGAGGAATAGGGTTAGATTTTTCCGATCCTTCTTCAGAGGCTCCTCTTCCTCCTCCGCCACCGCCGACTGAAGTACTTTCGTCTGAGGTATCAATTTTTCTGTTCCAATCATGTACGTTATAGAACAGAAATCTCTGTATGGATAATTAATTGATTGATGTTTGTTTCATTTTAAGGTCTCATCGACTTTGAAATTTTCTGTGGAGCCTGTAACCTTGGATGGTCTCACTTTGTTCAAGGTCAGTTTTCTGTTTCCTACTTGTTGTTTGATTGCTAAGCATTGATTGAAAATAAGGGAATAAGGAAGGAAGGAAAAAAAGATGAGATGTTGGATTGAGTTTCTTGCTTTCTTTACTGTCTTCTTGGAAGTAGTTCTTGATTTTGTCTCAAAAATTCAATGTAGCAATGTCTTGGCTTAACTATATTCTGTTTTTAGACTAAGCTAATCTCACCTGAATTTGGCATGAAAGCAGTTGGTATTTGGTCAGTTATGCACAATGCTTGTAATGTTTCTATATCTATCTTTGGTGAACGTGAAAAGTTATTTTGTAACTTTTTTTTTTTCCTTTCAGGGTCGTGTTAGCACCAAAGAGGTTTTTGGGTTGCCCAATTCTGATTTAGTACCTGGTGTATATGAAGGTGTGAAAGAAGGGTTTTCTTTTTGTCTTTGCCTTTATTTAATCCCTTCCCCTCTCTCTCTTTATTTAATCACTATATATATTTGTCTTTGAGACTTAGGAGGACTGAAACTTTGGGAAGGCTCAGTGGACCTTGTTAAAGCCCTTCGCTCAGAGGTTCAATGTGGGCATTTATCATTTAATGGAAAGCGAGTTTTAGAGGTGGGCACCTAATCTTCAGGTGATTTGATACTGCTCCACAATGCTCACACATTGATTCTTCAACTTCATAGTAGTTAACTGATGACTAATTCAGTCTTGGTTGATCATACGCTAATTTCCTGCACCAGTTTAAATTTATGCATTTTGTATTTTTTTTTTTCTGTATAATAATGTTATCTTTTTTAGGACACATGGCATTCTAATGTTTTTTTGTTTTTGATCCTTTTTCAAAAAGACATCTGATGTTGTCATTGAATCGCTCCTCTGTCTCTCTCTAGTTAATACATAAATGACATTCACTAACAGTTGTTCTAAAACTTAACTCATGTTCACAATCATCCCATCCCTTTTAAGATTTCACCACATCACCTCTACCCCTTTGTTTATTTCCACATCATGTCTAATCACCATTTCTGCCGCCAGATTTTCCCTTGACATATGCATTCATTCCTGCTTAGTCTGTTTCGCCTTTCTCTTTTGCTTATCCTAAATTTGTTCTATTGTTGGGCATCACATGCACAAGATATTGTTTATCTCTCCTCCCTTGGTTTGAAGGACCTCTTCGCGCATTCCTAAACCAAATTTAGGAAGATGACAAAAATATGCAGATATTAGAATCATTAATGTTTCTGTGAATGACTTATTAAAGGTTAACAGAATCAATGAAAAATGGTTAGAGGAAGGTGGTGGAAGCTAAATTCAGTAAGGTTCAAAAGTAACATAATGTCTTTCCATAGGGAGGAGATGCTTCAATTAAATAATTGTAATTTTGAATTGGTCTAGCCAATTGCAGGGACATTAACCCGTTCACCTAGTGGGCATGGGCTTCACCTCACAGTTTTCTTCACAGAGGTCTGGGCATTAATAGATCAGAGTCTTTGACATTTGTTGTGATTTATATTTTAGTTCCTTATCTTTTTTTTTTTTTTTTTTTTTAATAGTAGAGTCTTTGACATTTGGTTGTGATTATATTTTAGTTCCTTATCTATTTTTTTTTTTTTTTTTTTTTTAAGCCTGTAATTGTGGCATGAATTAGTGATGTTCACCGTAGGAAATTGATGAATGTTGGAATAAAATTATATCTGTTTTTTTTTTTTTTTTTTTTTTTTAAGCCTGTAATTGTGGCAATGAATTTAGTGATGTTCACCGTAGGAAATTGATGAATGTTGGATAAAATTATATCTGCCTGAGTGAATATGAAGAAATTGAATGTAACCCTCCAAGTGATTGTTTCTTTCAGAAGGATGTAAATACATGCAGCGAAAAATGTCTTTTTGTCTCTCCTGCTTTCATTTTAATTCCTAAGTGAGTTTCTGTGATATTCTTCTTCAGCTTGGATGTGGTCATGGACTTCCGGGGATATCTGCATGCCTTGAGGTAACTTTTACATCCTCTACATTTTTTTATCAAGCCTAGAATCATGGCTTGCATCTCTCTTGAGGATGTCATTGGAATTCGTCTTTTCTTTCTTTGTAACATCGAGATACCTGAAGGGCCAGCATCAGGAGACCCAGCCCATTCAATAAAAATAAAGCTTTGTTGTTTCTTGCATCAGGGTGCGAGAGTTGTACATTTTCAGGATTTCAATGCTGAAGTCTTGCGATCTCTCACTATTCCCAATGTGAATGTCAATCTTGCAAAAGAAAGTCTTAGTGGTAGATCAGATGAGTCGAATTGTGGTTCTGGTGCAGAACTGCGGTTCTTTGCTGGTGACTGGAGTCAAATTGACCAATGTCTTCCTTACATATGCAATAAGGAAAATGATCTCGACTGTTGCTCAGAGCAGCCAGTTTCTGGTTATGATGTCATCTTAATGGCAGAGACAATATACTCAATTTCTGCTCAACAAAATCTCTATGGACTTATAAAGAAGGTGTTGCCTTATTCAGTAGTCGATTTATTTTATGTTAATCTTCTACAATAAACTTATAGTTCCTGACTTCCAAAAGTGTTTTTCTGCAGTGCTTGCGCCGTCCTCATGGAGTTGTGTATTTCGCAGCCAAAAAGTATTACTTTGGAGTCGGTGGGGGAACACGACAATTCCTATCTATGGTGGAGAAAGATGGTCAGGCAGTCAGATTTCTTTTTTTTTTTTTCTTTTTGGATAATGTCTGTATTATATCACAGAAAATATAAATTTGAACATAAGAAGGGAATAAAAAATTATATTCTAAATTTATGCATGAAAGTGAGATCTCCTTCTAAGACATTTTGTCTACTTGTTCCATATATTTTATTTCTTGGACAAAAAAAAAAAATGCATATACAGGAAGGCTGATGAATGTGGTCTACTTGTGCTGTTCTTGCTCATGCTGCCCATTCATATGATTTGCATGCATAATATGATGCCTAACCTGGGATAGTAGAAATATATGGGGAAAAATGTCTGTATTCTTGCCCTGGCATGCAATTAAGAGTTTTCGCCTTTTCCTTTAAATTCTTCTTCTTCTTCTTCTTCTTCTTCTTCTTCTTCCTCCTTGCAATGGTATTGATAGGACGATCTTTGTTTTCTTGATGAAGGAATTATGGCTGGAAGTCTGGTTGCTGAAGTTGCAGATGGTTCTTCCAATGTTCGAGAGGTATGGAAGCTCTCGATGAAGTAGTTTTAAGATTTTGATTTTAGGTACATCAAATTGTATTGTTGTCTGATACATAGGATATGGTAACTCGGCCTCAATCGTACTGTAAAATTCAAAAGTCCTTTTTCTTGCTTAACATGTTTGCAGATTTTTCTTTACTTTTCTGCCTAAAACTTTGCTTTGTTTCATGTCATGTTTGTTCAATGATCCATGATATCATATATTGACTACAAATAGTGGGAATGGAAATCTCAAACGTCTGCTTTGCGTTTCACTTGGGTTCATGAATGAACTGCAGTTTTGACTGAACAAAGCTAACCACATTGATACTGCTGTCAGTGTCATGATATATCTTCAAGCACATTGCAGTAATTAACGTTTTGTGAATAGTAAATTTGGAGTTTTTTTTGTCACAATGGAAACAATAAGTTGTGCTTGTTTTAGTTTGGTTGAGCAAAAACAAAGGTTTTACCATGCACTATTTCACAATATTTTCAATCTTGAGTTTGGATAGAAATAATTTAACGAGTTGATAATAAATATATCTTTTAATTATTTATGTTCATAAATATAACTGATATTTATAAATAGACCGGATACATAAATTTACTTTTGAATTTTATTATTTTAACCTGTAAAAACACTTTTAACTTATAATTAGAAAAATATAAAAATTATTATTCTAAAAGTTATGCAAATTACACATCAGATTAATATTTTGTATATAAAAGCAACAAATCTAAAAATTTTATTAATGTTATCAAAATTTGCAAGTTCGGATAGATCATTCACAAATCTCAAGGTGTCATTGGATTACAATTGCAAAATTCACGTGAATTTTGAAACATCTCAGAGGGGAAAAAAATGGAAATCAAGCAAAAGGAAGTGAAGTAAAACCTTAGAAGCTGTTACAATGTCAACTCCCAAACTTTATATCATCACTTGTATTTAAGGATTTCTTTATCTTTAAAGCAAAAAATAAAATAAAATTTTAGAAAATGTACAAATAATTGAAGAATGATTAAATTGAAAACTGAAAGTTTATATTTAATACAAACTCAATATAATATGAAAAAAAAAAAAAAACTGCTACAAGTGATCATTTGATATAAATAAATTTCACATTTAGAGTTTCATATTTTTATGTTTTGCATCAGCAAAAATTTCAGGTTTAATTCTATAAAATTAAATAATACTCAACCAAATGTTATCATCTATTAATGAATTTCTAATAACTACTAATTTAGATATAAAAACATCAACTTTTGCACTATAAGTCAGACACTCTCAATACTGTTTTATGGATTAACATCCAATATAAACATAGAATAAGAAAAGGAAATTGCAAATAATTAAGTAATTATAATAAGAAATCATATATATATATACACACACACATACACTAAAATATAATTAATTGTTTAATGATAAAATTTCACCCAAAGCAGAAAAACAAATAGAAAATTACAGAACAAAGCTTCTGAAATTAATACTCAATTGACTTAAATGTTATTAAAGTGATCTCAACAGATTACAAGCTTAGTAACAGCTTTTGAAAAAAAAAAGGAAAAGAAAAAGAAAGCAATAAAATAAATTTAAGTTTGGAATTCAAGAATCAGACCTACAACGATAGTACCTAGGACAACCACGATTCTGAGGATTGGAAGAAGGAGGCAAACAACTGCTACTATAAGACTGACCATTAGCACCGCCATTACAGACTGGTTGGTCTCTTTTCAGAGCACCAGGTGATATATATTTTTTCTGTTCAAGAAATCTTCTGCTTATTTCTGAGTCCATCAAAGTTTCATATTCTTCAAAATTGCAATCTGCTATTGAACCATTACATGTGGGCTGAACTGATGATGATGACGAAAGATAGATTGAGAAGCTCATCAGAATTAGTATTAGAAGAAAGGAGAAAGGACTGCAGTTGAGATCCATTGTTGTTTGTGATTTTAGTTTCTGGTTTGTTTCTGACTCAATTTAAAGAGGAATATTGCAATTTTGCAAAAGTTAAACTTTTTGGAAAGTGAAGGTGTTAGTGGAAGCAGCATTATTGATATTCAAGAAGGACCGCACTTCACCAAACCTACTTATCATTAATTAGTTAATTTATTTGTATTTTTGGAAAAATTAAATGATTTTGTATATGCATCGAATAAGTTCTACCTGTTATGAAATAAGTGAATGTTATGTATGGGTTAAAAGTCTGTATTCTTCATTATTGGTTAATTATGCGAACTCTATTTTCTTGATTTGTATAGATCTCTTAAGATAACTATTTATACGTGGCTTCTCATCAATAATAAATACACTATCATATTTTCTTCATATTTTTCATATTCTCTCTTTACTTTTCTTCTTATTTTTTTATTATTTTATAACACGTTACCGGCACGATTCGTTTTACTACTGCAATTTCGTTCTACGGTTTTGGAAAGGATAATTTATGGTTTGCGACAACTAAAATTAAGGTGGGTGCATTTCGATTTGTTTCCACTTAAAAGGTATTTTTTTTCTTATTTGTTCTTTTTAAAACTGTATTAATATTGATTAATTATTTGATCATATATAGTTGATGGTTTAAAAAAATGACGATGTTATTTTGCCATAGTATATAATAAGTAAATGCCAATTATAATAATAATATCGTCACCTAAGCCATGGCCTTTACTTAGCTCATAAAAGGATGGAGGGATATCAAATTCATGTTCTCTTGACTCGTTCGTTAGCTGATAATTTAATATTACGAATAAGCTATATAGGGTTGCTCATCAATTTAATATTTTGATATTGAATATTAATGACTTGTTATATTTGCCATTTATATATGTTATTGACTGCTTGTAGGATTGTTATGGCACGCTGAAATTATTTTTTTTCTTTTAATTATATGATGATTATGATATATTTATGAATTATATAATATATATAGATTTAAATAATTTAATATTTTGGAAGTGCTTACAGGTTTGTTATTCGGGTTGTTTTAGTTTTCAAGGACATGTATTAGAGTGATGGTGGTTTATGCTTCTCGTTTTCTTTTTCTTTACTCAATTTATCTTAACGTTAGGTTAGGGGACATAATTAACTCAATACTCTTATAATTAAAAATTTTTTTTGTGATTTTGTTATCCACCATAATTATTTTATTCTATCAAATCTTATAAAACATTTTATATAAACTTGAATTTGTGGCACTTAATATTACGGGAAATAATTATTTATCATGAATGCTAAATCTGAAATACATTTAGATCTTATAAGTCTTGAAAACACAATCGATGATAGAAATCAAGAATCTAATCAAAATAAGGCAATAATTTTCTTCTATTGACTATTTGATAATTAAACATATGTTTGTTCTTTGAAATGGTTTGAAAGAAAGATACAACGACCAAAAGCTCACTTGAATGAATGTATTATTGAAAGATCGTCGTAAAACTGTAAGTTATTTTGATTTTGCAACATTAAAATTTTATTTTTATTATTATTATTATTATTATATATTGGCATATATTATTATGTTTGTTCTTTGAAATGGTTTGAAAGAAAAGATACAACGTACCAAAAGCTTCACTTGAATGAATGTATTATTTGAAAGATGCGTCGTAAAACTGCTGTAAGTTATTTTGATTTTGCAACATTAAAATTTTATTTTTATTATTATTATTATTATTATATATTGGCATATATTATTAATGTGCTATCAATAAGCTCCTAATTATTGATTTATTTTTAAATATAATTAAGATATTGTCGTTATTATATTTGGAGCTATATTAGCCCTTGATCTAGAATTATCAATGATATTTATACCTCGAATATGCTCCTGAAATAGTAATATCAAGAGAAAAAGTTTTACAATAAACTTTAAATTTATTTCATATCCTTTTATTATTGCAAAGTATTGAGCTCCTAATTAATATTATATTTGGAGCTATATTAGCCCTTGATATATTAGCCCTTATCTTATATTTGGAGCTATATTAGCCCTTGATCTAGAATTGTCAATGATATTTATACCTCGAATATGCTCCTGAAATAGTAATATCAAGAGAAAAAGTTTTACAATAAACTTTAAATTTATTTCATATCCTTTTATTATTGCAAAGTATTGAGCTCCTAATTAATATTATGAAGCTTGTTCAATTAGATTTTCTCTATTCCCTGAAGTGAAAGGAATTACACATAATACTAGACATGGGAGTAGTGAAATCCACCAACTAAATTTGATGCATTCCCTGAACTGAATCCGATAATATATGATATTGGGTGTGAACATGAACAATGAAAAAGATATACTTGTCATTGAGAATATCAATAAGATCATAATTGAAGTAATGATCTTAACAGTTATTATGGCCACATAATTAAGAATAAATTTTACCACTAGAAGTAGTACAAATAAGGTGGCATATATGGATGCTGGCTATGTGCTTGTTATACACCAAAATATTGAAAAATAAATTTATCTTTGGTAGTAAAAAAGTGTTTAAAAGCTCCAGAAGAGCAAGTATTACTACCTAGAGTAATGAATTATATGCATAAATTATTCCAAACATATTCATTAAAATGGATATTATATGGTTGTAAACTGGAAGTTTACAAATCCAAGTACTTTATTATTTAGCATAATCGGTTGGACCATTTCGATCAATAATGATGCGAAAAGGAAAATTTAATCCTTACATGAATATTTATTGAAGAATCAGAAGTTTTTTCAAATTTAATGAATTTTTCATGCTTAGTTTATTCTCAAAGCAAATTAATGTTTAAGCGATCACCAAGAGTTCAAATTGAATTGCTTGTATTTTATAGAATATATAACAGGAAATTATTGATCAATTTATTTGGATATATTATGGATGCATCCAAAAGATAGTTACATAATTATTATTAATATGCAACCTCAAGTTTGCAAAAATTATTGTCAACATTCAATCTGAAGTTTGCATAATTATTTGCGCAAATAATTTGATTAAGAATACAATTTTCAAATTATGTTATTAAGACAATTTATCTTGAGAATGATGGTGAATTTACACATTAGCTTTAATGATTATGGCATGTGTTAATTGAAATAATTCAGGGCAACCTGTTGTTGCTTTTATTATGCTCAAAAATAATTTAGTAGAATCATTTATAAATGATTGCAATTAATTGCAAGACAATTGCTATGAGAACAAATCTCCCTATTTTTTTAGAGGGACATGCTATTAAATTTAATAGCATTTACTCGCATCAAGTCAATAAGTTATTATAAATTTTCCTATTTATAATTGATTTTTGGATCAGGAAACAAATATCACCATTGAAGAATTTTTAAATATCCGGTATATATTCTAATTGCTCCACCACAATGCACTAAGATGGGTCTTCAATTCTAATTGCTCCACCACAATGCACTAAGATGGGTCTTCAAAATGAGGTTAAAAATATATGTCGGATATGATCTATGATTAAATATTTAGAACTTTCAAATAAGAAATTTATATATATCAAATTTGCTAATTGTTATAGATCCCGACATTAGGGGGAGAAAATAAGCAGCTAGAAGAATAATTGGTTGGAAAAGAATTATCGTTATTATATCTTGATCCTCACACAAGGCAATATAAATTTAAAATTTTAAAAGATAATTTATTTGCAAAATATTACAAATTAGTTGTCATATATATTTTTGATCCAAAAGGGAGATAACTAAATATCACATACTAGCTGCAAATACTCTTATTAGAATTAAAGTCTCTGAAGAACAAACTACCTATGTTAATGATTCTAAGGCACGCCTAAAGCGTGGTAGGCTAATCGGTTCCAAGGATATAAATCCTAAAAAGGAAAGGGAGTAAATATTCAAGATAGTCAAGTTCTAGAGGAGCAAATTGTGGAAGAAGTTCCTAGAAATGACTAATAAGTATTCAGAAAAAACTTAGGCACCTGAAATCATTGAAAATGATGAGATCTCTATAAATTATGTCATTTCAGGACAAGTATAAATCCGATATAAAATAAATGTCAACGCTAAATATAGCGCTTAAATTGTGAAAAATGATGAGGATCATGAGCATATAGTCTATTGATAATATAGACATAGAATTGATTGGCCAAAATAGAATGGCGCATGTGGATTTAAATTTACTTAGTAAATTTTGAAATTTTAATATGGGCATCAAGAGGTTAAGCCAGTACAATACAAATATGTATTTGTGCAAAATTAAAATGAGGCATGAGATATAAAGCAAATTTATTGCACATTTTTTCGTAAAGAACTGGCATTGGTTATGAGGGTAAACACCCTCATGTGGTCGATACAATTATAATTTGATATTTGATTAGTCTGGCAATTTATAAAAATTCTAAACGCGTCTAATGAATTAATGACTGCCTATTTATATGCTAATTTAATGTAAATATCTATATGAAAATCCCTGAAGGATTTTAATTGCTTGAAGTGTAAAGTTAAATTCTCGAGAAATTTATTCAATCAAATTATATAGAGCTCTATATAGATTATTGGATAATGACATTCATTAAATACTAAAAAAATGCTTGGAGCAAGCAAATCGAGAACTCGGGAAATATATTCAAGATTCCCGCGACAACTCCGTCCACATAGCCTCACGAGCATTTCCCCTCCATAAATTCCCACGACCAGCTCCGTCCTGCGAATGCATGATGATTGACGGTAAGGAGGAGGTCGTCAATGTGATTTTCAACTTAAGGGCTCCTTGATTGACGAAGGAGGAGGTACGTCAATATGTGATTTTCAACTTAAGGGCTCTCCTCTCTGCAAATTAAAGCCGGGATATGGACCCCAGGAGAAAAACTGAGCATTTGGTGGCTCTTCTCTACAAAATCGAGCGCAGCGTTCGTGACCGTCCGACGACGCTCTAGCAAAAGAACCCAAGAGAACAAAATTTGACCCAAGAGACAAAATTTTTCCCTTTTCGTGGTGATCGCAAATTTTCGATCCAATTTTTAATCGGTAAGCCCTAAGTCCCTTCACTATATTTTCTTGTAAAAATTCAATTAGAACTAGTTAATTCAAGTTAGTCTAGTTAAACTTTATTTTAGTTGATTTATTTAATATAAATTGACTCATAAAATACAAATTGGGATTTAAATGAGTATAATTTATTATCACAGAAAATGAAGTACTTGTTATGTTAGATTCTATTACTGAAAAGTTGAGAAACTTATTAAGTAAGAGAAATTATATAATCACTAACGGTGAATGCTTACCTAATATGCTTACCTAATAAGCTGAACTTTGAATAGTCCTTGGAGTAGAGACAGAATATGGAAATTGTAAAAGATGGAAGGAGAGGCCACTGAAATTAACAGAATTGACTTTCTGTATTGATTCTCAAAATGAGGAAGAGAAGCTACCATTTCTTTGCTGGCATGTTTAAATTTTCAATCTTTGACCTAAAGATGGCTGTATTCATCCACTTGTCTGAACTTTTTAATATACTAACATATTATTTTATGTCTTAAGAGAAGACCATCTTAAGCTCATCATGTGAGTCATGTCAAATGGTGCTTCTTTAGTACAGCTATTTCTTCATCACTTTGTATCACATTACAATAACACATCCAAATTTTTTTCTTCTTTCACTTTGCCTATCTTTCTACATTTCAAAGATGGCAAGAACAACCCAAAACTTATATATCTCTCAAATTTCATTGTTTTGCTCTATAATTGCCTGTTGTCACTCACTGCAGTTGATATGTGATATCTTTCTTCATCATGAGTTAACAACTCTAGTAACATTAGTATCATTAACTTGCCTTCACCTTTTAACCTGTAGATGCTTACAAGTGAACAAATCCTATGAATCTGCCTATTGGAACTACTTCTTTTTGATGTCTGCATTTCTGGAAAGTAGCAGCATTACCAACCGGAATTTCTTAACTGGGTTTACATATCTTTTGGCCGGATTCGCCTTTCTTTTTGTGTATGCTCTTTACGTTAAATGCAGAAGATTGAGAGGTTCAAGCCAAGAGATAGATGAGCAGAGACATGAAGAGCATAGGTTGCCCCTGCTGGTCGATATTGGTTTCTCATTTGTGGGTAACGGAGTAGTAATCATGGGAAGAACAAGGTTTATTCCTAGTGAAAACCTGGAATATGTTTTCTTTGGAGGAGCTATACTATTTCTTGTAAGTGGAATATTCTTTTATTGCTATACAAAGTATTCTTGTGAATCAGAAAGTCAATTTCATCCTCATAGAGAATAGAAATGATATCATAATTGATACCAGAGTTGATAAAGTTGACTTTCTGTCGAGTAGGAACAATCGAAACTTGTAGCATTATCCATATCTGAATGAATAAGAGCGCTTTGGAATCTAAATTGCTTGTTCAAAAATAAGTAGACGATAGTCATATGATATGGATTTAAGAAACTTCATTTTTACATTGAACTACAGATGTATCAAATAAGGAAGCATTACAAGTATAATATCTTATCTCCTTTATCCGAATTTATTCTGCCATGATGTGGCGATCTTTGGATCTACACAACTGAATGGCTTATTTATTTGGATCATTGTAACATTAGTTCTCAGGTAACCCCTCAGCTAGCACAATGATTCTGGATACTTAAATCCAAATATCTGAAGTGCAATCACCGCCTGGATATCTCATCTCATGAGCAAGAGAAGGACCTTCAGGTTCAGCTGCAAAGTCCACAAAAAAGTTTGGGTTTATTTTAAGACCACCTTTCTCAGTGTCAACATCAATCTGCAACATGTGAGATCCGTTCTCCACAAGTTCCGGATAAAACTGACGATCCCAAGTATTGAAGAGTGAATTGGTGACATAAAGTCGCTTCCCATCCAGACTTAGCTGGATCATCTGGGGTCCTCCTCTCAATCGATTACCCTGAAAAGAAAATATGAAACTCGTCAATCACTAAGTAGACTCTCCCTTTGTGTACCCATAAGAATATGCCATGCAAGTGATGCATGAAAATAGTCGCCAATGAATGATGCTTCCCCATGACAGTAACACAAAACAACATAGAGACCTATATGATTTTTCAACTTTAAAAAGAAAAAAAGAATGAGCCTAAAGGCATATGATGTTTCTTTTATGTTGAAACTGTGGACTTATTAGGCTATAATAATGCATCTGTAGCATTATAGTTTAGCCAAATTTAAAGAAATCAAATAACATTTAAAACCAAAATCTGTTCTTAAAGCATTATCAACTGTCATGGCAGAAAACACTTTGAAAGGAAGTTTTTGGTCAAGAAATTAAGGGAGGAGGGGAAGAGTTCTTTAAAATGGATGTGATGCAAACCTTAATCTCTGGAACAGAAGCCTGCCAGGTGTCACCCAAACCTTAATCTCTGGAACAGAAGCCTGCCAGGTGTCACCATCTTCTGTCTCAACCACTATAGGGCTTCCTTTTTGGATCAAGCACCCCACCCAAACTTGACCTGTCAAGACAGGATTTCTTATGTCCTCAATGTTGTACTGTCTGACATCTCCATGAAGCCAATTGACAAAGTACAGAAACCGATCATCTAGAGAAATCAGAAAATCAGTTATAAGCCCTGGCATTTCAGGAAGAATCCAGTTTTTCACCTTCAAAGGTTTCACTGATATTGCCAGCTGCAAAATTTAATGAGAACCATTAGGTATTATAAATGGAAGTATAATATTTTAGGCCATGGCTGGTCTAAAAGTTTGGAATTGTATTCCAAATTATATTAATTTTATTATCGTATCGGAGTTATTGATGAAATAATATTTTCAAAAAATATAGTCAATTTTTTATTTTCACACAGATTAAGAAAGTAGCAATTATTATGATTATAGGACAATTTTATAATATAAATTTTCTATTATGCCCATCTTAAATAACATGAGTAATTATTATATTGAAATAATAAGTAAGAATTAATGAAGGCTATTGAAAATAAGATAAAATTTAATAAATGTATAATAGCCAATTTAATGTTCAACTATAATTCAAAATGAAAAATAAACTATATGTTGGGACAAATAAAAAAGAAAAGATGGACTATCTTTTTGGGATGGGGAGTACAAGAAAAGCATTTATAGCTACTCATAACTCTTATTTTTGTGGCCTAAATATTGGGCGAGCATTAATAAAATTAAAATATTAATTGAATTTGACTTGCTAAAAATTTAATTGTTTATACTATATATAAAAGTGGGATTGAGGGGAATAATGAGATTTTATATATTGTCCTTATAAAATTTAAGACTCTAAAATAACCTTAGTAATAGCCAATTAAAAAATTTTAACATAAAAATATATATATAATATCTTTATAATTTAATTGGATTTTTTTAACCTTAGTAAAGCAAGCAAATCGAGAATTCGGGAAATATATTCAAGATTCCCGCGACCAGCTCCGTCCATAAATTCTCGCGAATCGAGACCTCCGATCAACTCCACATAACCTCACGAGCATTTCCCCTCCATAAATTCCCACGACCAGCTCCGTCCTGCGAATCCATGATGATTGACGGTAAGGAGGAGGTCGTCAATGTGATTTTCAACTTAAGGGCTCCTCCTCTCTGCAAATTAAAGCCGGATATGGACCCCAGGAGAAAAACTGAGCATTTTGGTGGCCTTCTCTAACAAAATCGACGGCAGCAGTTCGGTGACCGGTCGACGACGCTCTAGCAAAGACCCAAGAGACAAAATTTTTCCCTTTTCGTGGTGATCGCAAATTTTCGATCCAATTTTTAATCGGTAAGCCCTAAGTCCCTTCACTATATTTTCTTGTAAAAATTCAATTAGAACTAGTTAATTCAAGTTAGTCTAATTAAACTTTATTTAATTAGAACTAGTTAATTCAAGTTAGTCTAATTAAACTTTATTTTAGTTGATTTATTTAATATAAATTGACTCATAAAATACAAATTGGGATTTAAATGAGTATAATTTATTATCACAAAAAATAAAGTACTTGTTATGTTAGATTATATTACTGAAAAAGTTGAGAAACTTATTAAGTAGGAGAAATTATATAATCACTAACTGTGAATGCTTACCTAATATGCTTATTTGACTTTGGTTAATTTAATGTTAAGATTACGGATTAAATTACAATTCTATAATTGAGCTGTGGTGAAACCAAATTGAATTTGGTATTGTGCTAGAATTATATGTTAATGAATTGGCGGATTGGAATTTTATAGTTGATTTGCCCAAAGGATAGGCTGTGTGAATTGGATGAATAGAAATATTGAATAATTGATACTGTTGTTATTGTTTAAACAGGTAGATAACTCTATTTTTAGGAGATACGCTGCTGGATTTTCGGTAGCACAAACCTAAATGATGAAATTAACTAACCTTATTTTCTGTAATTAGAAATTGCTCAGTAAAAGACTTATAATGAACTTAGATTAGCATCTTATGGCACATACGAATTGGGATAGGTGAGTTAGGTATAGAAGCAATGAAAATGCTTGTGGATTTAAATTGAGAGATGATGAGAAATGTATTTACATGTAGTGTCTTTAGTAAGTAGAGTTGTAAGTAATGGAGGATGGGAATTTACTATTGATTTCTTGCTCGATGGATGGGTTGTGTTGATTGTTAATACAAAAATGTGTTTTATTGTTTAAATGCGAAAATTGAATAGGATTAATCCGATAGAGGAGATGCAGTTGGATTTTTGGCAAGGTAGTTGGATGGATGATATGGAATAAGAGACTAGACTCAAAGAAAATATAAATTAGAAGAATAATAAAGACAACGAAACTAATCAAACATTTTGAAAAACTAAAATAGTCGAATTCAAACGTAGAACTTAAGCTAGCACATCTAACATACATATAGATTAGAATAGATAACTTAGGTGTAGGAAACCAAAATAAGGAATTTATCTTAATCTAGAATATTCGGATTAAACGATTAGGGAAAAGTTGATATAATTTTATTAAAAATTAGATTTAGAAAGGAAAGATAGAACTCATGAATAGTAAACTTATTTTGGTTCTTTCTTTAGATATTATTGCAGGTTTTGAGGAATCAAATGTCGGGTAACATGATAGCAAAAGAGGAGCACAACTTCCAACTAAACTATAAAATTGTGTGTGTTAGATAATTCACATCATCCACTTGCATTTGCATCCATGTATACGCGGCTAAATGCTGGACATGCATTACTTATTAAATTGTCATTTTATGTTACATTATTTGTTGCTATTGGAAATGGTTTGATTAGTTGTGATGTGCTTCATATATGCTTTGTTGTGTGGAATAAAGAAAAGCATAACTTCCAGCTAAACTATAAAACTGTGTGTGTTAGATAATTCACATCGTCCACTTGCATTTGCATCCATGTATATGCGGCTAAATGCTAGACATGCATTACTAATTAAATTGTTATTTTATGTTACATTATTTGTTGTTATTGGAAATGGTTTGATTAGTTGTGATGTGCTTCATATATGCTTTGTTGTGCAGAATTGGGATGAAGTAGGTCACCGTTGGGTTTGTGAGGGCGGTTTATGATACCGTCGGCCATGTATGGGGAGATTAGCGCCCCCGTGTGCATCTGATGAAATATGTTATGGAAAACCACAGGGTGGCTTCCTGTTGGTATGGAAAAGAAAAGAGAGTATAAAAAAAATGAGAGCGTTGGTCAAGTGAGGTTGAGACCAGTCGGTCATATTTGAAGGATCGGCTCTCTGGTGCACACGTAATGAGAGGGTCGGCCATGTGTAAGGACAGCTTGTCAGGGCTTTGGTGACGCCATTGATCAATGTCCACATGATGTGATTATGTGAATGTGTTATTATTTGTAATTGTTGTTGTTTTGTCATTTGTGTGATCGACTGCATGATCATATAACTAGTCGGATGACTAGATTGATTTATTTGCCAATTTGTATGATTGTGTGGAGTGAGAGTGTTAACTAACCTACTCACTGAGTTTAGACGCTCATTCCTGCCTTAATATTTTTCTATGTTACAAGTTTTCCAGTGTCTCGTGATTCTTTGCCACTCGACATCTAGAGGAAATGTTGAAAACGAAACCTTGATTAATTTTGTTCAGTGTATTGAAGTGAAATTTTAAATTCTTAGATTATTCCGCAATTACATAGTCATGTGTAATAAAATTTAGAAATTATTGATGTATTACTTATTAAATTTTCTATTATGTAATATATTGATACAAGCCTAAAGTACTATTATTGAAATTAACTTATGATATTTGCAGGTTCATGAAATTGGGCCTGAGGCCATTTTTATTAAATATAAAATTCGTTTGTTTTTTTTTTTTTTTTTATAAATATAAAATTCGTTTGTTCTTTTTTTTTTTTTTGGTTTACTACGGATTTTGGTGGCTTTAAAGCCCTACTCAAATCCTTTTTTTTTTTTTTTTTTTTTTGGTTTACTACGGATTTTGGTGGCTTTAAGCCTACTCAAATCCTAAACACTTAAAATTTATTAATTCAAAAAACTAAAATAAAACGTGCAATAGTTAATTTATCATATTTAGAGTATTATTTATGTAATACTTTTCTTAACTATTATTCAATGACTTTGAATATCATGGTTTATGAAAAAGTAAGGATTTTTTATTATATTCTTTAAAAAATTTGAAAGTGTGGAACACATTTTATTTGAATATATATGCCCTACTTTTTTATTAATTAAACCATTGGATTCAATGCTTCTGCGCCCAATGAGGTTCTTTTTACATGAGATTGTTACATTAAATGAGGGGTAGAGAGGGAAAATCACGTGAGAGTATACATGAAATCCATGTGTATGTGGAAAAAAAAAACCACGTCATGCCAGCACATTAAAAATGGAGTCTACCAATGCCCAATTGTGATTCTGGTACCTGATTGTAAAATTTTAAAAAATTTAAACAATCGATTTTGATAATATTTTCCATTTGAACACTAAGTAAAAGAAATTAAAAATTGGGAGACTAAAGATAACATTATACCATTTTAATTTAACTCGATATAAACATTGGCTTGTCTCTAAACCCACTTGACTCTTATATCAAGCCTAGACTAATTTAATTTAAAAACTAGATCAGAATTTTAAAAATTAAATTAAATCAAACTAATCAGTTTTATTTAAAAAAAAGTTCATACGACTCCATTTTTTAAAAAATATTAATTTATTTGATTTATACTTATTCAAATTTAGTTGTACTAAACTCACTTTACCTCATATTCATAGTTATGAAACTCGGCCGATTCGGCGAGTTAACCCAGAAAATCAGTGAGCCGATCTTAAAATTGGACTGATTTTGCTTTTGAACCATTTAAGAAAAATAATCAAATTGAATCAATTGACTCATAATTGAATTGGTCGACCCGTACACACAATTGATCGGGACCAATGTTTGATATTTTTAATTATTTTTATTTTAATCAATATATATTACTTAATATTTTATAACCTACTAATTCAACCATTGATTTACTAGTTAAATCAATTACCGACCCAAAATACGGTTCTTTAGCTGAATCAATATCCAGCCGGTTTAATAACACTACTAGCAAATAGAAAACCGAAGTGGCCCTACAGTTTTATATTTAAGAGACAAGAATTGTATATGAGGCAAACGATTGGTGACCACAGATCATATTCATGATCACGTACACCAAAACAGAACAACACAATTATTGCAGCGTCTTAACAGGAAATACTTTTTAAATTCCAAGGCACTACCAAGTAAAAATCCAATCAAGTGGAAGAGAAAGCTCCTCTCTCAAAAAATGGAAAAAAGGAAGAGAATTTCTTGCTTCTTTTATCATCTTTCTCCTTCACTATTATTAACAGCACTCCTAATTGTTCAACAACTCACTTCAACACCTAAAGTTGATGCTGCTGTTAAAGCTTGCATTGGAAATGAACAATGCAGGAGGAGCTCGATTGAGGAGCAAGAATCGCTAATGGAATTAGAGACAAGCCGGAGAATTCTTAATCCGACCAAATTTATTAGTCCAGAAGCTCTCCGGCGAGATCTACCGGCTTGTGGCGGCAATGGTGAAAGAGGTGAGCCCTATAGTAAAAGTTGCTTACCTCCATCGTCCAATACGTATAATAGAGGATGCAAAAGTCTGTATAGGTGTAGACGTTGAAAATGTAAAAAAAATGTGGTAAATTTTCAATTGAGACCTTTTCTTAGTTAATTAATTTTGCTTTGGCCTCCTGGGCAAATTCAATAATTGATTTACTTTTTTTTTATTATTCTACTTGTAATTGTATGTTGCTTTCCTGTGCAATCAAAAGGAATGGATAATAAATCCATTGGTGTTATTTCAATTGGTCAGGATAAATAATAATTTAATTCCACAGAGAAACATTGTAGTAATATTAAAAAATAATATTTCTGAATGGGCCAAGTCTACTTAAGGGAATGCGCGTCCGGCCATGACAATAGTCTCAATGGGCATAATTTGTCTTAGATCATGTTAATCAATAAGCGTTTTGACTCTTAGCGTTTTTGAGCTAATTTGTAGCGTTTTAACTCTTTATTTATTAATTATAGATTTTAATAACATAACTTTTATAGTAGCTTTTAAATGTTGAATAAGCTTTTATAAAACGTTAAACATTTTAACGTTTTGCTTTTAATTTTTATTTTTATTTTTTTTTTATAACTATACCCATCGTTGTTTTTCTCTGAATTCTGCTAATTAAACAATTATACGTCATTTTTTGTCATTTTAAATTAAACAACTATTTTTATTAAACATTTTTAATTTAAATTATTATATAAATAGTCACCGAATACAACCTAATAGCTAACCGCTATGAAACAATTTACATAGTAGAACATACCTTAAGAACTCTTCACTTTCAATACTTTCAAAAAAAAAAAAAAAAAAAAAAAAAAAAAAAAAAGTAGCTTTTTCGATATTTTATCGTTTGACTAGAGCACTTGCGATGAGCAAAGTACAACTACATATTTTTGGTTTTAAAACAAAGTTAATATTACCTCCTTCCATTTTATTTATTTGTTAATTTCTTTATTTAAAATGTCTCAAAATATTTACAAGATTTTTAAATTTAGGACTTTTATTTGTAAACAATTATTTTTCTCATAATAATATTTGTGATTATTCATTAAACGAAGGACTTTTATTAATATCTTAATAAATTAAGAGTAAAAAAAATGTAAAATAACTTTTATTTACTAAATTCTTAATATGCGTGTTTTGTCAAAGCATACAAATAAAATGGGATGGAGGAAATAATTAGTATATTCATGTTTCATACCTTTTCAATGATTTATTCATATGAACATTATTTTTTGTTCTATATAATAAAAAAAAGTTTAAAAGTAAAGAGGTATGGATAAGATTTATACTTCTTAATCTCTTGGATTGTGCAAGATGTCTAGGTGTCTAATCATTCAATTGAAATTAAATGCTATGCAATCAGAAAAAATTCAAAAATGTTAAAACATTAAGGAGAAGTTAGAGCAAATAGGGTCAATATTAGTAGTAATAAGCTCAAATTTTAAATTTAATAAACTTCACAAATTGAACCAAACTGTATATTTATGGTTTGGACAGTTTAATTAGTCTTAGTGATTTGGTCCAATTTGAAATTTGTTTAGTTCGAATATTTTCCAAAACTAAATAAGCTGAACTTTGAATAGTCTTTGGAGTACAGACAGAATATGGAAATTGGAAAAGATGGAAGGAGAGGCCACTGAAATTAACAGAATTGACTTTCTGTATTGATTCTCAAAACGAGGAAGAGAAGCTACCATTTCTTTGCTGGCATGTTTAAATTTTCAATCTTTGACCTAAAGATGGCTGTAATCATCCACTTGTCTGAACTTTTTAATATACTAACATATTATTTTATGTTTTAAGAGAAGACCATCTTAAGCTCATCATGTGAGTCATGTCAAATTGTGCTTCTCTTAAGCTCATCATGTGAGTCATGTCAAATTGTGCTTCTTTAGTACTGCTATTTCTTCATCACTTTGTATCACATTACAATAACACATCTAAATTTTTTTCTTCTTTCACTTTGCCTATCTTTCTACATTTCAAAGATGGCAAGAACAACCCAAAACTTATATATCTCTCAAATTTCATTGTTTTGCTCTATAATTGCCTGTTGTCACTCACTGCAGTTGATATGTGATATCTTTCTTCATCACGAGTTAACAACTCTAGTCACAGTAGTATCATTAACTTGCCTTTACCTTTTAACCTGTAGATGCTTACAAATGAACAAATCCTATGAATCTGCCTATTGGAACTACTTCAATTTTATGTCTGCATTTCTGGGAAGTAGCAGCATTACCAACTGGAATTTCTTAATTGGGTTTACATATCTTTTGGCCGGATTCGCCTTTCTTTCTGTGTATGCTCTTTACGTTAAATGCAGAAGATTGAGAGGTTCAAGCCAAGAGATAGATGAGCAGAGACATGAAGAGCATAGGTTGCCCCTGCTGGTCGATATTGGTTTCACATTTGCGGGTAATGGAGTAGTAATCATGGGAAGAAGGTTTATTCCTAGTGAAAACCTGGAATATGTTTTCTTTGGAGGAGCTATACTATTTCTTGTAAGTGGAATATTCTTTTATTGCTATACAAAGTATTCTTGTGAATCAGAAAGTCAATTTCATCCTCATAGAGAATAGAAATGATATCATAATTGATACCAGACTTGATAAAGTTGACTTTCTGTCGATTAGGAACAATCGAAACTTGTAGCAATATCCATCTCTGAATGAATAAGAGCGCTTTGGAATCTATATTGCATGTTCAAAAATAGGTAGACGATAGTCATATGATATGGATTTAAGAAACTTCATTTTTACATTGATCTACAGATGTATCAAATAAGGAAGCATTACAAGTATAATATCTTATCTCCTTTATCCGAATTTATTCTGCCATGATGTGGCGATCTTTGGATCTACACATTGAATGGCTTATTTATTTGGATCATTGTAACATTAGTTCTCAGGTAACCCCTCAGCTAGCACAATTGATTCTGGATACTTAAATCCAAATATCTGAAGTGCAGTCACCGCCTGGATATCTCATCTCATGAGCAAGAGAAGGACCTTCAGGTTCAGCTGCAAAGTCCACAAAAAAGTTTGGGTTTATTTTAAGACCACCTTTCTCAGTGTCAACATCAATCTGCAACATGTGAGATCCAAGTACCACCTTTCTCAGTTGTTCAACATTCAAACTTGCAAACATGTGAGATCCTTTTCTCCACAAGTTCCGGATAAAACTGGTTCTCAGGTAACCCCTCAGCTAGCACAATTGATTCTGGATACTTAAATCCAAATATCTGAAGTGCAGTCACCGCCTGGATATCTCATCTCATGAGCAAGAGAAGGACCTTCAGGTTCAGCTGCAAAGTCCACAAAAAAGTTTGGGTTTATTTTAAGACCACCTTTCTCAGTGTCAACATCAATCTGCAACATGTGAGATCCTTTCTCCACAAGTTCCGGATAAAACTGACGATCCCAAGTACTGAAGAGTGAATTGGTGACATACAGTCGCTTCCCATCCAAACTTAGCTGGATCATCTGGGGTCCTCCTCTCAGTCGATTACCCTGAAAAGAAAATATGAAGCTCATCAATCAGTAAGTAGACTCTCCCTTTGTGTACCCATAAGAATATGCCATGCAAGTGATGCATGAAAATAGTTGCCAATGAATGATGCTTCCCCATGACAGTAACACAAAACAACATAGAGACCTATATGATTTTTCAACTTTAAAAAGAAAAAAAGAATGAGCCTAAAGGCATATGATGTTTCTTTTATGTTGAAACGGTGGACTTATTAGGCTACAATAATGCATCTGTAGCATTATAGTTTAGCCAAATTTAAAGAAATCAAATAACATTTAAAACCAAAATCTGTTCTTAAAGCATTATCAACTGTAATGGCAGAAAACACTTTAAAAGGAAGTTTTTGGTCAAGAAATTAAGGGAGGAGGGGAAGAGTTCTTTAAAATGGATGTGATACAAACCTTAATCTCTGGAACAGAAGCCTGCCAGGTGTCACCATCTTCTGTCTCAACCACTATAGGGCTTCCTTTTTGGAGCAAGCCCCCCACCCAAACTTGACCTGTCAAGACAGGATTTCTTATGTCCTCAATGTTGTACTGTCTGACATCTCCATGAAGCCAATTGACAAAGTACAGAAACCGATCATCTAGAGAAATCAGAAAATCAGTTATAAGCCCTGGCATTTCTGGAAGAATCCAGTTTTTCACCTTCAAAGGTTTCACTGATATTGCCAGCTGCAAAATTTAATGAGAACCATTAGGTATTATAAACAATGAGATCAGCTGTATACAACTCAAGATGTTGTCTACACTTATAGAATTCACAATGTCTATCACGTGCATACCTCGTGGCTCCAAGATCCATCTGGGGTCTTGAAAAATCGCACCATGTTACTTGTCAAAGCACACCCAACAAACCCTGTATCTTTAGAAGGATCATGCAAGAACCTTATCTGAAAACAAATGAAACTATGATAAATAAACCTCATCATATGTCTGTAGCAATGAAGAAATGACTTACCATACAATGAGCATAAGTAAGAATGCACATATATGAGTATGCTCTCTCTCACACACACACATCGTAAGCAAAGAGATATTGTCCATATCTAAATGACAGGGAGCAATATTTGCAAATTGTATTTTAGTACTCACCTCTAAGGGTAAGAGCCCTGTATTGCCAAGATCCAATGTCTGTTTGAGTTCACCATTTGGCCAGCTATAGACATGCAAATGCCTGCCATAAAGACCATCTGACACATGCTGCAGATTAAATCCTTTAGTGAAGGCTGCAGGAGCTCCCCATGATGAGCTGATCATTGTGTTGTGTCGGGGTTGGTACCAGAAATCATAACCAAACAATGGACTATTCCCTGGTTTCTCCCATCTGACGAAGATGACAATGGCCAAAAGGTTATATAAATCACATTTCCAATAACAATTATGTTTGCATCTCTACACCATTGAATTGACCGAGTTATTATGTTTTGAACCCTTTCTAACTGTTTCACAATAAGAAACCTGTAGAATGAAATAAAATTCAACCCAAACAAAGGATCCATGCTAACATTTTAAGAAAGTGAGCACAAAGATGTACCTTCCTTTCACATTGAACTCTGAGTCAAGGAGAAGAAATCCATTGCCCTCTGCATTTCCATCTTTGTCCCCAAGGCATGAGACCATTATATCTCCAGATGCAAGACAATGTGATGTGTGTGGGTAGGCCAAACCTGTCTTCTGTACAATATCTTCTGGCTCAACAACTTTGTGCAAGGAGGGAGCTTTAGGATCTTTCTGGGTGTTGATAACATAGATGCGACCAGATCTGAATAAATTACAAATTTTGATATCACACAACCTTGCACAATGAAAAGAGATGAAAAACATAATGTTCCCAACAGCAAGACGGTGCCAGTAAACTGAATACAAATTTACAACTGGCTGTCTGCTGTTCATGCTTGTGTTCTGCTTTCAATTCATGTTTCAGTAGCTTATGTGCATAACAGTGAAAGAAATAGAATTTTTTGATTCTATTCAGGTGAATGGGGTGAGTATTTATCTGACTAAATTTATCAAAGAGTAAGTTAGAAATTCAAAACACCCATTAAAAACAATTTCAAGAGGATTAGGCTATTAGGATTTTAAGTTCATTTGCTAACTTTATCACTTATATATGCATAAGAAAGGCAGTCAAACTTTAAAGCCTCCAACATATCAGAGCAAAAAATAACTCTTGAATGATCAGTCCTTGGCAGCAATAACATGAAATTGAAGTCCTCTTAATCTAATTTCATAGCCCTCTTCTTTTCACTGGTTTGATTACTTGCTTACTTTGGTATTTCCTCAAGGACATTATTATCCATAATAGAAGTTTAGGAGAAAAATGAATTGCACTCTTACACCAGTGAAGGAAGGATTAGAAATCGCCGGTTTGCAGATGGATCTCCATGGCAGGAGCTGCAAGCGTTCCACCCTGAATGATGCAGTTCATCTCCTACATACGGCATAGGAAGCCTACTAATGACTTTAGAATAAGTAGGAGAATTTGGATCTACATCCACTGTGGCTAGATAATCAGGCTTCTCTATTCCTGTTCCTGAATATATACAGAACCAATTATAAGTTTCTAGTCCCAAATGATCAAATGCACAACTTAAACATACAAGAAAAGATCAAGAATGGACAAGAATATGTATCAAATTCATCAATGACCTGAGGAGAAACAAGATAAATAAAATTGATATTCTAAGGGAATGAATCATATCATGATTGGTCATCTCATCTTAATAAACCCTAAATGTTCACCGAAAGAGGACCAAAACCAGTTATCATGTTTCCTTTAAAGGACCAAGCTACTCTATCCACTCTACTAGCATTCAAGCAGGACACACGAACAGGATTCACAGATAGTTTCTGCATAAACCTGAGAAAAAGTAAGGGAAGACTGCACCCTATGATCCTTCCCGGGGGAAAAATTGTACAAATCTCATGTTAACAATTCTTTTTCAGCATGCTTTATGCTAAATGGAGTCTTGGTGTTGAATGTTTCAACAGATTTTCGGTGTGGGTGAAATTGGCTAAAATTGTATCAATTGGAAAAATAGAGAGTCCAAAAGGACAAGGTTCGCCATGCATGTTCAGTAGTATAGCTTGTTATTGCCAGGAAGACTAGCAGCACTTCTGAAGATCGTTTTTTTATGAATTTCTTTTTTATAGACATCGGAAATCTTAAAGGGAAGGGACTATTATCTGGGTTTGAACTCCAACTCTAAAATCCTTCCTTCTGCACTAAACAAGGGGCACCCGTCTAGTGGCTTATTTATTAAATAAGAAAATCAGCTTAGTCCCAAGTGAATCTTTACCAGCTTCTCTAATTAAATAAGAAAATCAGTAAATTAATCTTGAAAAGACAAAATCTCGCACTCAAAAGTTAAAAGAATCTAGAGAACAGAAAAGTTGATGCAGAAGGCTAAGATCTGCATTCAGATACCGAATTCTCATTGATTTTCCAACAAAACCCAATCCCAACTAAACCACTCCCATCGAGCAAAAGAAATTCTGAGAAACTGAAACCAAGAAAATCAATCAAACAGACCATTCACCCACGAAGAAACGAACGTAGAAAAAATCCGAACATGCCTGATACAACCAAATCACACCGTGACTAACTGACATCCATGAACTAAAAATCAAACAAATGTGAAAGAGAAGGAAACCAAAAAAAAAAAAAAAAAAAAAGAAGCAAATCACACCGTGACTAACTGACATCCATGAACTAAAAATCAAACAAATGTGAAAAGAAGAAGGAAACAAAAAAAAAAAAAAAAGGAGAGAAGGAAACCAAAAAAAAAAAAAAAAAGAAAAGAAAAGCTTAATTATTTATTTACCAGTATAGACACATGTGACATAGATAAGAGACTCTCTAGGACCAGACATTGCCTCAAGTGGGGTGGCATAACCTGGTCCTTTAGCGCAACACCCATGTCCATTACTCTGCTTCACCACTTCTGTAGCCATGTCCAATTCCTACAGCAGAAAAATCACAAGCCAGGATTTTCAGAGGAAGAAAAAAGGATCACTAATATAGCCAAGCCAACAGCTCTGTATGTACGTGTACACGCGTCTAACTTTGATTGGGCGAAATTTTGGACAATGATGGCCACTGGAATAGCGTCGTCTTTCGCAGCTCTGTGCGAATTTGTCTAGGTGGGATGTATCTGTAATTTCGCTTTTTATGGCTAAGATCGTTTGATTATTAGAGCGTTAAAGATTACGCATTTACGCGTGTCATGTGACGTGAGTAGTTAAAGTTAAGATTTTGACGTAAACAATGCTATCCTAGTTTGATAATGACAGTTAATTAGCAGCGACACATTATTTGGCAAGATCTTATTGTCCGTCCGAATCTTAAACGGCTTTCCTCCTTCAGCATTGTTATTTTTAGGGCGATCAATTCTCTGTTTTTAACCCACAGTCGAATTAAATTGATATTTCAGTATAGTTATTTGAAAAATTCAATTACCAATTGATTTAAATATATAAAACTATTTTATTTTTTATCTTTCATTCGGCATTATATAAAATAAACTGAAATTATTTTTAAATTTAAAATAACTGATTTAATTTTAAAATGACTGAATTTCAATCGAACCAAATTAATTTTATTCTGTATGAATCGATTATTTAGCATTTAATTTTAGATCTAAATTCCGTAAAAATATATTTATATAAACCAAAATCGAGCTAATTCGATTTGATTCCATTTAGTTAATAGAATACTCACCCTAGTTATTGTAAGTCACTTCGTTTTTGTTGGCTGACTTGGTAAAGATATTTTGTAATGGAGTTATTTACATATTAAAATTTATTAGTGTTAGAACCCGCGCGACGTGCAGAGTAATATTGAATGATGAAATAATTTTTTATAACATCATTCAAAAATAGTAAATTTATATAATAAAATGATAAATTGTATCTCATTCAAATATGCTGAAAAATTGCAACGCTAGATATATCTTTTTAAATATCTTGTGAAACCTTTTGTAAGGTATCAATAGCAAAAATCATATATGGTATGACCTACATTAAAAAATGCATACACACTATTGATGTACTTTTCAACAGTGATAATAATTTTGAGAATTTCACTAATTATAATTAAATAAGAAACTAATTTTTTTATTTTATGTTTATGATTTATTATAAATGATTGTTTATTTACTTGAAATATTAATGTATTACTTATTTAGTGTAGTGTGTCCTAAAAGTGTAGATATCCTGCTTTTTAAAAATTATCGTGTCGGGTACATTTTTGTATCACGCGTTTCCATATATTGTTTATTGTGTCCATGCAACCTAATTCTTGGTATATAAGACTACTCCATACACAAAGCTAATTAACCAATGTTACTTTTTATAACCAATAAAAAATGAAGTGTTTTTTTTTTAATTTATTTGTGTCATTGAAATAAGAAATTAAATATTTTTTATTTTATGTTTATGATTTATTATAATTACCAATGTTACTTTTTATAAAAAACCAATAAAAAATGAGTTGTTTTATTTTTAATTTATTTGTGTCATTGAAATAAGAAAAATTTATTTGTGTCATTGAAATAAGAAATTAAATATTTTTTATTTTATGTTTATGATTTATTATAAATGATTGTTTATTTATTTGAAATATTAATGTATTATCCTTATTTAGTGTAATGTGTATGTCCTAAGTATGTTAATGTTCTACGTTTTTCAAAATTAATTTCTTATCGCATATGTTTTTCTTATCTCGTGTCCCGTATTTGTACACTTAGCTCCTGGTATACGAGGCAACTCCATACACCAAGCTAATCAACCAAGGTTTTTTTTTATTATCAATAAAAATGAAATATTTTTTTAACTTATTTTTGTGTCATTAAAATAAAAAAATTAGTGTTTTTTTATTTTATGTGTATTATTTATTATAAATGATTGTTTATTTATTTAAAATATTAATGTATTACTTATTTAGTGTACTGTATCCTAAACGTATCTCACACGTTATTGTATCTCGTGTCCTGTGTCCATGCAACCTAACTCCTGTTATATAAGACTACTCAATACACCAAGCTAATCAGTCAAGATCTTTTTTTTTACTAATAAAAAATTATGTTTTTTTAAAAATTTATTTTTGTGTCATTGAAATAAGAAATTTTTTATTTTATATTTATAATTTATTATAATGTTTATTTATTTAAAATATTAATATATTACTTATTTAGTATTTTGTATCTTAGTGTGTGGGTGTCCTTTTTTTAAAAAATTACTGTATACGAATGTTTCCAAAGAAAAAAGGTTAGAGAAATATTAAAATATAAAAATGAAAAAAAAAAGAAAAGCTGTAAGTGTATATGATTGTTTGTCCCTACTATAAGAAAACTAGTTTGATTGATTTTATAGAAAACGTTTATGATAATTAATTGTTGATCAAAATTTAATTTGTGATCCCTACTATTCCTATTTTTATTTTTTAATTTTTAATAATTAATCAAATATGCTGGTCTCTATCATTCCTCCTTACACTTGGTAACTTCAGAGGGTTACACTTCGTTTTCATATAATGCAAACTGATCTATTTTTATATATTATATAGATTTATTTTTTTAGACAATTTATGAATGAGAGATCTTTCCTGTCCGTGAATAAATTTTAGAGCTGCTTATAAACCTCTCTAAATTTTCTAAATCGAAATCAAATCAATTTAAAAATGTGGTTTAAAATATTAATGATTTGATTTAGTTTATAAATTTTAAAAACGATCAATATTGATTTAGTTATGGTTTGTGGATCAAAAATATTCTATCGAATCAAATTAAACTAAACTGAAAATATAATTGATGAACAAATAAATATGAACAAATAAATAAAGGATATCGTTATTGTCATAACCGTATTTGATAATGTTATGGATTTTGATAGAATAAAATAATAAACTAATCACCTAGAGATAATAAGGCAAGAACCAAGATATAAATATCCTTTCTAAAGTATTCACACAACAGTAACTGATATAATGGAGATAAAATCTACACTGTATCAGGAATTACGTGGGTAATAATCTCTATTTCTTAGATATATAGGAGATCTTATAGACCATTAAGAGATACACAACATTTAGATTATAGATCAACTAGAAGAAAACCCGCGCATTTGTGCAGGTTGCTCTGTTTGTTGTACATTATACTTTGTTTCAGAAAAAAATTATTATAACTTTATAGTAAATGCATAATAAAAATAATTGAAAGTATTTTAGATAAAAATAAATTTGAGCTAAACTTGTTTAAATTTTCAAATCTTTAAGTTTATAATTATGTTTCAATAATACTCCTACTTTGCATTTTTATAAACTTAAAAATTATAGAATAATACAATTTTATGAAATAACAAAAATAAATACATCTAAGTTTTGAGAAGATGCAGTTTGTATTATTGCATGTACACGTGTAATGTCAGCTTGGTGGGATATTACTCGAACTTGAATGTTGGAGCAATACTTATCACTCCATAAATTGTATTATCAAAATTTTCCAATAACCATCGTCCGTTTATTTTCTGTTGTTAAAAAGATATAGAAAAAATTTTTTCATGATAAGAGTTTTTTTAAACTATGATTAAAAAATACAGAAATAAAAAACATAACGCCTTGTTACTGAAACACCCTGAATTTTTATTTTCGAAACTTTTGAATTTTTATTAAATAAAAAAAATCGCAAATTTTGGCCGCGTGGGCTACAATTGTAACACAGTCCAAATTCGAGCCCAAATTTTCGAATTGGGCCTAAGCCCAAAATAGGTTCGGTAATTTCGGTTTTGGAGAAGAGTTAAAAATTTTCGAGTAACAAATGAAAAGTCCAGCATTAATCTATTATTGTATATAATAATATTATTATCCAAAAACCAATATTGTTACTATTCATATTTTTATTATTAATATTGAGTAAAATGGACGAAAATATAATGGAAACCAAACTAAATAATTAAAATAAATCGAACCGAACCCAGAAATCGAATTTAATTTCGCAAAAACACAACGATAACTTGAGAACCAGTGGAAAATCCGAGGAATCAAAGAAAAAATAGCAAAATCATCAAAAAACCGGTTTGAATCGAACCGGAATGGCCTAGAATTTGCTAGAAACCGACTTTCTTTCTTTCTTTTTTTTCTTTCCTTTCTTCTTCTTCCTCCAGTGTCGACCTCACCCTTGCCCTCTTCTTCTCTCGTTTTCCGACGACCAGACAACCGCGCCGCGCCTCCTCGCTGTCGATTCCTCGCCGCAGCAGCTCCGGCCTCCCCTTCCCTCTCTCCGTTCGTTTCTAGAGAAAGCAACAGTCGCAGGAAGAGCTGCGACCTTGCCTCGATTGGAATCGCGTCGCAGTATATCCTCCTCGGCTCTCCGGCGGCTCCAGGCGGTCTGAACGACGGCGCAGCTTCACACTCTTCCTTCCATTGCCGTTCACCTGCTGGCATAGCGAACGCAAGGAACTGCGGTTGCGTTCCGAGCGGGACAGTAGCGCAACCATTTCTTCGACCACTACCTCCTTCACTTCCGACCGAACTAGCAGCGGCACTTTATACTGGGTAAGCCAAATTTTTACCTTCTTCAGTAGAATTTAGGAGTTCTTGCTGGATGATGAAGGATTTGATTCATGAATTAAATTGGTGTTAGAACTAAATCCCTACCTAAATCGCCTAACTACTACTGTTCATGCAATTTATTAAGGTCAAACTAATTTAAAGTTATAGATCAAATCAATACTGAATATATTAGCAAAATAAATGATTTATAGATTGGAAAATTCGTAATAATGCAACGAGAATGATATGTTTGGTTAATTTACAGTTTTTCAATTAAAGGTGTTAGAACAAATTTGAATATGGCAGTAGGCTAATCTAACCATTTGTTTAAGTTATTGCTTTGATATATGATTTAGGATATTATCAACTAAGTTCTTGTTGAGAAAGGAGTTCATTGGCCTGTAATGTACAGGCTACATTCAGAAATCTGATTTCTTTAGCTTGGCAGGGGCTAGTGGTAAGATTTTATGAGTTTTGCTAAATGAGTTTATATTAATGCTATATATTTCTGATTCGTATTTGACAATGTTGTTGATAAGGTTTAATGATGTGATTGACAAAGAAATATGAACTATAGATTGGGATGACAATAACTGTAATTGAATTTTTATTTAGGTTAGCATTGATTCTTAGTGG